AGTGCATCAAATGTTCTATTGTAATCGATATCAGCCCTCAAATTTACAATGTCAAATACTTGAAATAGCGAATAAGAAGTTAACGTTCTTGTCATGTAATCATGTATATTTAGTTTTTTTTGCAGTGACATAGGCGGAAGTCACTGTCTGACAAGGAAGGAGCTCTGTGTCCCGTGATTTGTGACCCCAGAGATTTGGGGTTCGCCTAACGTTTTACAGCAGGTGTTTTGTCATCGTTAGCTCATGGGATACGATCAACCGTGAATCATTTAAACACGGAATTGCTTGTTACGCTGGATTGTGCTTGGTTGTGACTTCTTCTGCTATTGGCATACTTCTGTCCTTCGTCCAAGACAAAGTGTTCAAAGCCACGGACTGTAAATTATCGTGATTCTTTTGTTTGATAATGTGTGAATAAAGATTTATCACTGTAACCAATCGTCTCGGTCTCTATTTCCACGGTCACTGACCAACGTTCGTTTACCGTTAACAGTTTCCAAGTTTGAAATTCACGTTAACATACATTTGACAACGCTGATATACTAAAAAGAAGCAGACAGCAAATGGCATGAAAATTTAAAGTCAAAGTATAGTATGGTGATGATGTATGTACGTAGATGGGCTCATACAATCTCATTAACACCTCATTGATGTATGTCGTAATACCTGTCGCTGCCGTGTAACACAGAACCTTCCGTTCCTCCCGTCCAATATATTTGGTAAACACCGCTTCTGGTTAACAATCGCTTCGTGTTAAAACTCTTGACTATACGCAGAAAATGTTGTGGCTTCTGGCCACACAGAAGCGAATACAGTAACAGACAAACGCATCAACAGTTAAAACGTATTTTTTTATGGATAACTCGTCCTGTTTTTTCGCTCAGTTTTTTACTGTAAAGTGTTACAGGAATTCCTTCAAATATAGCTTGATGATACATCTCATCATAGCCATACTTATAAATTCCCATATTTTAAAATTTATTTCTATGTATTGCTTAAATCATTGTATATCCTCATGGTGTTATATATCTACATTTTGTATAATGACCTTTCATTAAGTTAATGTGGTTGTGGATTCATTCAACATTCAACGTTCAGCATTGAACTGTTGAAACTGAAATGCAGGAAAACATCTTTACGCTTGAGCCAAAATTGGAATTTCGCAGTCAGAACTTGCCATTTATGACTACATTTTATAGAAATGTTCATTTAATCATTATTTGAAGCTTACTTTCTTTTCCTAACCCATGCAAGCAATATCCTTGTTTAATGTTTAATTGATGTATTACAGATATGCTGAAACCATGCATTTTTTAAATTTTACTTCAATTATATTTTGAATGAAAAGGATTACGATTTTTATAATGAATATATTTTGAAATTGCTCTGTAGAGTCGGTTGTGTCGCGATGCAGTATCAAAACTACCAGTTTATGTCACACCTCAAACGAGTCCCATAAAATTGTCGGATGTCACTTTTGGAATTGAAACCACATTCATAAAGCGAAAGTTTACGTAGTCCAAAGCATTACGATAATAATAATGTAGACATGCAAGCTTCAGGGGCTAGTGATTTGGATTCCATTAGGTTCTTAGTGACAACAGGTGCCGATCCGGTCGAATAGTTATGACATTAGTTTCAAGAGAACAATCTTAAAGGTATGCTTAAGTATAGTATTACGGTAGCGTCATGTAGCCTAGACCAGGGACTTCACTTGATCATATCTCGCTTATGACTGGCGTCTCGCGTGCCAAATAATAACGGTTGTAGCTTTGAAGCATGCTCTACCTATCTATCTGACAACTCAAAAACATTATTTGATACCGTAATAACGACAGTAAATCCCATTAGATCAACAGGATGATACCTTCGGAAATGTCATTGGTTTTTACCAATAATGTGTTATTTTTATCTGCATGTACACTATACTGGCACTTTCAATTTTCATACAAAAAAAACTATTCTCCGTGTGAACACATGTAGGATAGACATGTACAGCACTTTCACAAAACGATGCAGCATTGTAACGTTTCGCCAAGGGATTAAGCACCTTGTCAACCGGGAAATGAAGTGTATGGATCTCCATCGAGGCATATTAAACAGAAAATGTGAACATATTACTAGTAACTACATATCAGGGCTGTTCTACGGTTAAATACCTGCATAACATTCTGGAATATCATCATCGTTCAATCAGAATTTATCTTTTCCCCGGTACTTCACATCATTGTATTTAAAACTTGCCGGGGTAGGGTATATTTCCCTACACAAGATGTGGTACGTTCATAATTTTCCTTAATAGTCTCCTTTCATGCAAACCATTGATATAAAGCTTAATACAAGCTCAAAAACAACGAAAAGAGGTGATAATATAGTAAACACATATTTACACGCAGACAAAAGTACCAAGAAAATACGATAAGGTTCTGGAATCTTGAAATAATACAAAAGATAATAAGATGACGTGTTCCGGAATGGTAAAATAATACATTCATACAGTCTCTTTTCTTCAGTTGTTCTTTAAATAATAACACTCTTGTTACATCCACACCAATCTTAAATCACGTCTGCCCTGGTATCCAGAATTCGGAATTGATAATGATATGTTAATAGATAGACCAATGTTAATCTTTATTGTGTTAATAATTACAAGTGATTAATTACTAATTACAAACAACAATGTTGTTATTTACTTGGACTCATTAACTTCAGTCACATATACTTGTTTGTGTGTATATCAATTGAATTGTTTGTATGTTACAATTACAAAACAGACATCTCGAATCCAGTGTGTACTTCATTATTACAACATTCATTAATTATTGCTTTATAAATAGTTCAGTACATTTAATTATAAGACGCCAGAGACAAACTTTAAATAATGAATTCTATTGAATTAATAGACAAAACTAGACTTCATCGGAACCAGCATTGATTACCTGATCTATATAAAATGTTTTGTACCAGATGACCCATTGCATAATTAATTGATGTGTAAAATAGCCCCAATAGAAATACATGTCCATTGATACTGTATTTATTATGATAGATTTATTTATGTGGCAGAACAATTTGGCACTTCTCCCCGGTGCACATTCCATTCGTACATATATTAACGATATTTCTTATTTCGTAAATATTTTGTTCCTTGATTCGTGAATGTTCAAGAAGTAATTGGTAAACAAGTACGATAAATGAAATGATCGTGTAAACATGTTACTGACTTGATGTGTATACATTGAATATTTGATATCGTATATTTTATTAAGTTTGTTTGACGATTGATAAAAAATAATACCAATTTCAATACAAAAAGAATGCTTTCATCGGTAAACCTCGTACAGGTATGTAACAACTTCATCGGTAAGTCTCGTACAGGTATGTACCAACATCATCGGTGAGTCTCGTACAGGTATGTACCAACATCATCGATAAACCTCGTACAGGTATGTACCAACATCATCGGTAAGTCTTGTACAGGTATGCACCAACACCATCGGTAAACCTCGTACAGGTATGTACCAACATCATCGGTAAATCTCGTACAGGTATGTACCAACACCATCGGTAAGTCTTGTACAGGTATGTACCAATTTCATAGGTAAGTCTCGTACAGGTATACATGTACCAACTTCATCGGTAAGCTTCGTACAGGTATGTACCAACATCATCGGTGAGTCTCGTACAGGTATGTACCAACACCATCGGTAAGTCTTGTACAGGTATGCACCAACACCATCGGTAAACCTCGTACAGGTATGTACCAACATCATCGGTAAATCTCGTACAGGTATGTACCAACACCATCGGTAAGTCTTGTACAGGTATGCACCAACACCATCGGTAAACCTCGTACAGGTATGTACCAACATCATCGGTAAGTCTTGTACAGGTATGCACCAACACCATCGGTAAACCTCGTACAGGTATGTACCAACATCATCGGTAAATCTCGTACAGGTATGTACCAACACCATCGGTAAGTCTTGTACAGGTATGTACCAATTTCATAGGTAAGTCTCGTACAGGTATACATGTACCAACTTCATCGGTAAGCTTCGTACAGGTATGTACCAACATCATCGGTGAGTCTCGTACAGGTATGTACCAACACCATCGGTAAGCTTCGTACAGGTATGTACCAATTTCATAGGTAAGTCTCGTACAGGTATACATGTACCAACTTCATCGGTAAGCTTCGTACAGGTATGTACCAACAGCATCGGTGAGTCTCGTACAGGTATGTACCAACACCATCGGTAAGCTTCGTACAGGTATGTACCAACATCATCGGTGAGTCTCGTACAGGTATGTACCAACACCATCGGTAAGCTTCGTACAGGTATGTACCAACATCATCGGTGAGTCTCGTACAGGTATGTACCAACACCATCGGTAAGCTTCGTACAGGTATGTACCAACATCATCGGTGAGTCTCGTACAGGTATGTACCAACACCATCGGTGAGTCTCGTACAGGTATGTACCAACATCATCGGTGAGTCTCGTACAGGTATGTACCAACACCATCGGTGAGTCTCGTACAGGTATGTACCAACATCATCGGTAAACCTCGTACAGGTATGTACCAACATCATCGGTGAGTCTCGTACAGGTATGTACCAACATCATCGGTGAGTCTCGTACAGGTATGTACCAACATCATCGGTGAGTCTCGTACAGGTATGTACCAACATCATCGATAAACCTCGTACAGGTATGTACCAACATCATCGGTGAGTCTCGTACAGGTATGTACCAACATCATCGGTGAGTCTCGTACAGGTATGTACCAACAATTTAGAACCCCTTTGTCACGCCCATTTGCTAGAATATTTTTGCTGCTCTGCCAGTTTAGCGATTTTATTTGCTAAACTGTGTATGTTATGTCCATTTTAATACTGAAGTTGCATAACATACAGGAAGATGTCTGCAACATTATTTCTTACATCAACTTAACATAACAAAATCGTATTGACTTGATAAAGTCTTGAACATATTTCATGTCACTTTATGACCCTTTCCATATAGCATCCTTTTAGCCGGACTGGCAGGGCCAAGATTGCCTAAAGGCGTTCCACGTGACCGGAGCTGATCACGAGAATGCTCCCGTCCTTGTTCGTGTAGTAAGGTTTGTTGTTGTCTTGGGGTAATATTGTCGATGAGATGATCAGCATAGTACAAGGCCTGCAATGTCGTAAGCTTATTGTTAATCTCCCTTACTAGTTTCAGTTTGATACATATGGGAATAATGATATAGTCTGGGACTTTTAAGACAAAATTGTACTGGTTTATATACCTATATTTCCTAACAGCTTATGTTAATGTAATTGAAATATATTAACAATAATATGGTAATCACATTTCGTTATAAAACTTGAAAATAAGATCAAGTTTAAACAAATTCGGTTAATATTCATTAGATGGTATATATCCAAACAATAAATGTCCGTAATCGATCAATCTATTGATTACTCTTCGTTAAATCTAAAGATAAAGTCGATATAGGACGGTTTAAGACTTTTTATATTCGTTGCTACAATGTTTGTTAACATCCTTACCTTTGGTGCGCTCACAGTCTGTACCGCTACAGAGTTTGTGAGCATCTTCCGGAGTTCCCCTAATCTGGTTGTGGCTGACTTTACTCGCATTTTGTCAACACTGGAAAGTATTGGTATTTCTGGTCGAGGTACCATACCTAAGTCCCCAGGCTGGTAGTGAAACAGTGTACCTTTTGCATTTGTGGCTATTGGCGACACAGGTAGTGCTCTGAATATATAATCATAACACTGATAAAAAAAATCAGAATTTCATGATTCATGGGTACGTTAACATAAAAACGCCAACATCAGTTTGACAACTCCGAACAATGCAATGAATGAAAACGGAAGTTTTTTCCCAATATAAAGAAATGAAAAGTTGGACAGTGTTCTAGATTTCGAGATGCAACGACTTATACAAATAGAACCTACCCTCGTTTCAAGGATTTTTTGCCGGGTATTTCACTGGCGCTCTTCTTACGTATTCTATATCTATCATGACTACTTTTTCCAGATTTCGGCGTTGTAACCATGGTTACCATACCAAGCAATTCTTCCAATAGAGTGTTTTTACGATCTGTATCACTTTCCTCTTCCATTCCGTATACAGGGGTAACAACTCCTGGATTATTTTCTTTCTGTAAAAGGAAGATTTTTTATCCTTATAGAAAGTTTGCCTCGCACAATATTCGATTGTAATATAAAATGCATAACAGAGAAAAAGATTTCTATCTAGCTCAGAAATATATGCTATTTTTATCTTAATTTATTTTCGTCTGTTCAAATCAGTTTTCGATTGACAGTGCGTTTGCTTGTTCTTGTTATGACTTCGAAAATTTGAAAAGTAAGACAGAAAGATCACCTTTCCTAAATAAAGATAGATATTTACAATGAAATTCTGAGGATACACATATTCAATTCATTGCCATAACCTTTTTGCTAGTACTAGATATCAGACCTACAGTCAGTAACTCTCTGATAGCACCAGATATCAAAACTACTGTCAGTACATCTCTGATAACACTAGATACCAAACCTACTGTCGGCACCTCTCTGATAGCACTAGATATCAAATCTACTCTCGGTACCTCTCTGATAACACTAGATATCAAACCTACTGTCGGCACCTCTCTGATAACACTAGATATCAAACCTACTCTCGGTACCTCTCTGATAACACTAGATATCAAACCTACTGTCGGCACCTCTCTGATAACACTAGATATCAAACCTACTCTCGGTACCTCTCTGATAACACTAGATATCAAACCTACTGTCGGCACCTCTCTGATAGCACTAGATATCAAATCTACTGCCGGCACCTCTCTGATAGCACTAGATATCAAACCTACTCTCGGTACCTCTCTGATAACACTAGATATCAAACCTACTGTCGGCACCTCTCTGATAACACTAGATATCAAACCTACTGTCAGTACCTCTCTGAAAGCACTAGATATCAAACCTACTGTCAGTACCTCTCTGATAGGACAAGATATCAAACCTACTGTCGGCACCTCTCTGATAGCACTAGATATCAAATCTACTGCCGGCATCTCTCTGATAGCACTAGATATCAAACCTACTCTCGGTACCTCTCTGATAACACTAGATATCAAACCTACTGTCGGCAACTCTTTGATAGCACTAGATATCAAATCTACTGCCGGCACCTCTCTGATAGCACTAGATATCAAACCTACTCTCGGTACCTCTCTGATAACACTAGATATCAAACCTACTGTCGGCACCTCTCTGAAAGCACTAGATATCAAACCTACTGTCGGCACCTCTCTGATAACACTAGATATCAAACCTACTGCCGGCACCTCTCTGATAACACTAGATATCAAACCTACAGTCAGAATATCTAGCACTAGATATCAAACCTATTGTCGGTACCTCTCTGATAACACTAGATATCAAACCTACTGCCGGCACCTCTCTGATAACACTAGATATCAAACCTACAGTCAGAATATCTAGCACTAGATATCAAACCTATTGTCGGTACCTCTCTGATAACACTAGATATCAAACCTACTGTCGGCACCTCTCTGAAAGCACTAGATATCAAACCTACTCTCGGCACCTCTCTGATAGCACTGATATCAAACCTACTGTCAGTACCTCTCTGATTATATCTCTCCGTTTTCATTAGACCTAACATCAGAACACCTGTAAGTAATAAATACAATGTATCCTAAACATTGACCAAACTACATCATTCTGGCTGTTTTGTGTTTCTATAACTCGTAAGTCATGTATGGAGACGAAATCGTTACATTTGAGTATCCAGTCTACTCTAACATCATTTCAGACGATATTAATTCCGTCTGAAAAGTTAAACTTACCACCAACACCTCTTTGATGGTACTAGAAGCGTTACTGAGAACCTCTCCTAATTTCATCATCTCTCGGTTCTCCTTCCTCAGTTTTCCTTTCACGTCTCGTATCTCCTCACGTAGTCGCTTATTGTCTCGGATAAGTTGTTCTTTGTGTAACCTTTATACATTACGGAAAGGTTTGATTAGATTTGTGTAAAAATTCTATAAAGCCAAGTCTTTATAATCGTTGTTCTTTGTGCAACCTTTATACATTACGGAAAGGTTTGATTAGATTTGTATAAAAATTCTGAATATATTATAGAGGAAGAAGGATTTGTGTCAGGGTTATCGTCGTCTTATCTTAAATCAGTCAGCCGTAACGAATGAAATGTTAACACTTGATAAAACAAACAAACGAAGCAATGTGTCTGATATGTACACGAATGACTTAGATCATTGATAACAGACATTTAACGTTACATTCACGAATAGATTATACATTGGTATACAATTAATGGGGTTACAAAATTATATTCTCAATTAGTTTCTAACTGAAATTAGGTGTTAATTTCAGTTAGAAACTAATTGAGAATATCATTTTGTAACCCCATTAATTGTATACCAATGTAGAATATCCATATACCCTCTATAGACAATTATTTGTTATATCCTTTTACATAATTATTGATATCTTTATACTTTATCATTAGGATTTCCTGAATTATGACGACATCAATCAGTTACATGTGACTGTTTATTATGACTAATGTCTACTTCTAAAATATGCTAGTATGTGTACGTGTACGAGCAGAATAAATTATCTTTGTATTTCTCATTTACATATGAATTTCTGATAATAATGACGTCAGCGATTTCGACAGTCCTCGATACATTGTAACAATGATCTGATGAACTAAAGCATTCTGTCTGATATGACACCCAAATCTATGTAAACGCACAAACTCACTTGAATGAGAACACACCAGTTATGTAAAATAAACATTTGAATCACTTTATCTATGGTGATATTGTTATCGACTATCTAGTACACTTGAATGTATACAAATGAGTATGTGCGTACCTCTGGGCTTCTACTTGGGGAACTAAGATAGCCCGATCTCCATCAAGGTCCTGGAAGGCGTGGTCTCTCATTTCCATTTCTTCCAGTAATTCCTTCATGTGTTGACTTCTGCCTTTCAGCATTTTTATTATCTATCATTTGAATTAATAGAAAATTCAAATTGAGTTCAACATAACGAGAAATGCGTTTTCACAAAGAAAACTAAATTGAGAGAAATTATAGAAATCACAATGGTAATTTTATATTCGGTGCTATTTATTTCCGTAAAAGTGATTTTGAAGTAATTGTTTTACATTTTTACCTTTGTACTGCTACTGTTGTTCTTTGCAAGATCTTTTTCTCTTTCTTCCAACATTTTTATTCGTTCTTCCTGTTCAGCTACACGTGCGCGAACCTCGGCATTTTCTGCCATTAACTCGATAGTTTTGTCTGACGTCTGAATTATCTCCCCTCGTATCGACACATTCTCTCGGATAGCTCGCTTTGTTGTGTCTGCCATTTGTTTGTTAGATACCTTTCTAAAGTCTGCAGCTCTCTGATTCACCTGGTCCACCATTTCCTTTTTCAATCTGTATTTAGATTTTAAAACATAAAATGTTATAAATCCATTTTCATCATCTTCATTTGTTTGGTGCCGAGATTTGCTTGATGATAAAGTATCGTGTGTAATATTATGATCAATGTTTGATTAAACACGATTGGTATGATTCATATACGAAAAGAGGACAGATAAGAACACGTTTAAGCTTTGGTTTATCGCTAAGCAGTCAGTGTCCATGACATTCTATGAACGGTTCTGATATTACGCATTGTTAAGTAATCTCACATAGTAAACAGGTTTATTGTCATTAAATTGAAAAAAAATGCTATTCTTGATAAAGGATTGTACACTAAGAAATACCACGCACGTGTCTTTATCAACGATGACCATTAACAGGATATATAACGCGCCTGTCTTTCTCAACAATGTTTAAACAGGAAATGTAACGCACCTGCCTTTATCCAAAAAAAGTTTTTAACCGAAAATAAAACGTATCTATCTTTATCAACAATGGTTTTAACCGAAAATACAAGCATCTATCTTTATCAACAATGGTTTTTAACCGAAAATATAAGCATCTATCTTTATCAACAATGGTTTTTAACCGAAAATATAACGCATCTATCTTTATCAACAATGGTTTTTAACCGAAAATATAACGTATCTATCTTTATCAATAATGGTTTTTAACCGAAAATATAACGCACCTATGTTTATCAACATTGAACTTTAATTGGAATTACAACGTACCTGTCTTTATCAACAATTGCCTTTAAGCGGATGTTTTCAATGATGTACTTCTGGTCCTCGTCGCTCTGTTTCATATGCTCCTCCATGGCAGCCACATGAGCTATTCGTTCCTCTTTCTTCAATTTGAAATCTTCTAACTCATTCAGCTGTTGACCTTACGTATGAAATAACATAACATTTTACTAAATACATCAGTATGTTATACTTTTATAACATATATATAAATATTGTGTTATACTATTTGGCAAGGCTGTTCCAATCTCTCAGTTTTCTATGATTCTGGCCAAACATTAGTTCTGAAAAGATGAATTATCTGGTAAAAAACAACATAAAAAAAATGCAGTTAGCACAATCATATCTTAGCGCCATTGTTTCAGCGCGAAAATTGATGAAGTAATACTACCACTAAAACACGTGCGTTTATAGCAACTTATTAGTGAGCCATGTGTAGAGAAAATGTGCCGTGTAAAAGCCAACATTGTGTTAAAACCCTTATGTGTCAATTCTAATGTTTTCCTTGCCTGCGATTTCGCCAAAATAACTGTACAAATCCCCAAAATGATGGCTTTAACACAGTGCACAAATAACAATGATGGATACGCGAGTGAATGTTATCTACATAGTTACAGCCTCATTGTCAATACTACACATTTTTAATATGTGTGGGTTGTAGAAATATTTCAAACTTACTGAGTAGGCTATTCTCTGCGGTAAGCCTCTCTTTCGTGTCCTGAAAGTCCTGTCGGATCTGGTCAATCTGACCATTAGCCCATTCCTTCTCTTCCTCCCGTGTCGTTTGTACTCCGTTTATCTCTTCCATGATCAGAGCTTTTTCTTGTTCTGAACATAATTGATTTCATTCAGAAGTAATTGTTCACAGACAAAAATAAACCCAGGTTTTTTTTTTCTTATTGTAATTATCATTACATCTGAACAGCCTAATAACCACTGTTGGACTGTTTCAACGATACTGTTATGTCATTCCATAGTTAAAACATTAAAAGTGAGCATTTTTTTATATGAAATTGTTTGGTAGTTGAAGTTGATATGCAATTTGCCATGTCTTTTCACTATACTAGTATTTTACCAAAACACGTCAGGAAATTAATAAAGCAACACTTTATTTCTAGTATATATTCACCACGTATACTAATGTGAAAATATGTAAAGCATTTGTGTACCTTTTTCGTTATCTTGAGCCTGAAAGAACTTTTCTATGTCGGCGTTCTCTCTAGCCATCTCATCATGCTTTTCCTGCAGAACAATCTGGTTTTTCTCCAGTTCTTCCGCTTTAGCTTGGTACCTTGAAGAATCAATGATCATAATAATACATAGATAAATATATCCTTCATATGAAACAGTGTTATTTTATCTAAATATTTTCATGCAATGACCCTTCACCTATCAACCATTATCTTGTCCTTAATCACGATAGCCCACTTTTAATGATTCCGGGACACACATTTTTACGTGTCAGTTTCACAATTCTGTACATAAACGAGAGTTTATGGGTACTTAACCCGGATGATAACTACAAAGATCGAATGCGAATAGTTTTCAACATATATTATTCATGGACAAATCAAGCCAGGGTAATCATCTAAGATTCTAATGAAATGAACAATATATATGTTACATACGTATTGTTGGTTAAGATTTAACTATATTAAACATTATATAATTTATTATTTGATAAAAGTGATGTAAGGCATGAAGCCTTGATTGACGTCGGTCGGTTGGATATTTACATCATATTTTCGTTATAATGAAATATGTGATATATTGCACATTTCTACTTACTTCATTAGCTGAAGTTCTAAATCTCTAATCTGCATAAATACGAAATCTTTCGACATTTCGTTGACACCGTCCCCATACGATTTAGAAGGTGATCCACGCCCAGATTTTCCACTCTTCTTCCCTTTTTTTCCGCTCTTTTTTTTCTTCGGTGGCATTTTTGATGTATTTTAGCTGGTTTGATATTTCCTCTGTCAAGCACCAAAACAAATATGGCGTCGATATATAGCTTAATGGTGTATACTGCAGGTCTAATCAAGCTTAATTGTCTGAGACTAGTTTAAACAATAGTGGGGATTCCTTAGTTACGGCTATAAAAAGAACATGAGCGGATGGGATACGTGTACTTGGCATATCTATTGGCTAAGGGCAGACATGTTTTATTTGGCTCTACAACGATACCCATCTCAACATGTTATTGTTTGTGATCACACACTGACAATATGGTTTAAATACCTGGCACACAGGAAACACATACCTACTGGTGCGTTCTTTGATTTTGTAATGTGTATATTATCAAGTACTGTTTTGTTGTTATATACTGAGTGCTCTCGGGATGATGTATAAAATATAACTCAGTTTATAAAAACACACAATGTAAACAAAAATATTGCATTTTTAACCAAAAACATAAGATTTTGTTCTGTTGGAGTTTGATTATTCATATTTTCATGCAGAATATCTCTTGTTTCTCTGTTTATACGAGATAATGTCATATATGATATTTTCACTGTCATAAAATCACACCAGTAATCCAACATTTCTCCTGGTTAATTTGATATTAGGATGATCCTTAGTTTGTTTCTTTATATAAAGACATTTTATGAAATATTTCAGATTGTTTGTCGCCTTCACTCACAAATAGCTTATTATATAATTGATTAATTTCGAGTTTTGTCTCTTAATAACTACCTATAACTCGTGGTTTGTAATTATCGATTAATTCCATGTACATGCGCAACTCAAAAGGAAATCTATACTAAATAACCATCAGATAATAAGATATAACCTTTGACCTCTGATAAGGTTTAAGGGATTTTAAAACTATAAATAACACTCTAGGATTATCACTTTTTCTTTATAATTTTGTTTAACTTCAGCATCTTCGAATTGTCTAAAGTCGTCTCTCAGTTTACTTCCGCGTCAGTGATAATATTGATGTAGCGTATTCACATCCTCTAGAAAAAGAAAGGAACCTGGCTATAAAACGAGACACACTCTCCAATTTAGATAACAGTTTGATCTAGGAAATGTGAATACAGTAATGTAGTATTCCCTCTTACTTTGGACACAAGAAACAAGGAGCTTTTTGTTACGTTAACAAAGAATATAGTTGTGCCTTCGCGCAATTTCTTTCTTCTTCACTATAATAAGGAATTTCTACGTCGAGTGATGACACAGAAATGTTCAGAATTTTAATAATTGTAAAACTCTATCTATCTAAAAAGCCCTTTTATATTACAAAATATGGACAGTGAGAAATCCTGGAGGATAATCATTCCACGGGTATGCTATTACTTTCAGGCGCGTATGAATTTTGCATTCTGTCAGTGAGATATGCACAGTGTGAAGGTGAGGTAATAAACATGTAAGAAAAGACAGTTTAGCTGAATTAATTCGTTGTACACGTGTTTCAGATAGACTGTAAAGTTGAATCGCTAGTATATATCCAATAGAGATATACTAGCGATGTATGTAATGGTGTATGTAAAACCACGTGAGATTTCAGTCATTAGAAATGTATTGGCATAAAATGTCCTTATATGTAAATATAGACAAATTAGACGCTTATGATAAGCTGCCTTAACTTGGTCATATATTTCAGGTTATGAATCAAGGGAGGTAACAATACTGTTTAAGTGGCCTCCAATGACCAAGAAAAACTATTCCCTCTGTGTTATCTTTCGCTTGGCAATCCTAGATTATGTTCTCCATAATTTTGAAAGATTGTTAGACAAACTAACTATACCAGGTTTTACATATACACAGTACACGAGCGGTCATACATGTAAATTGGGTCGGATGTGTATTGCACCTCGCTGCCTCTGTGTAATAGCTACATATTATCTGCCAGTTTGGTGGCCCTTGTCTTTTTCTGATAATAACCTGCATCAGAATTTTTATCATTACATGTTTCATCTTCAAATAGGGTATATCATTTGTCCAGTGTCATATTTAAAACACTCTGTCACTGGGAGAACGAAAAGTGCAGATGTCGGTAAAGTCACAGTATTTGATGTGGGGTCGTCATACCTGGATAAAAGATTGTACATTTTCATTAATAATGCTTATTGGAAAATTCTTTGGGTCAAAATTCTATTAGTTTAATCATACCTTTTTTTTAAGTTGCTTTACAACTAACTGAATTGTATGTTGGTAGTTCTCACATCACATTAAACGTAGGCAGAATATCCAATAATCAAAATTTACGAAATTTATTTCATTCATTCTATCCACTCAATATAACATGCTTCTTGACTTTGACCTAGATATCCACGTTTTAAATCCCTTACAGACGAATTGACCGTAGTTCGAATCACGTTTCGACCTATATATTATGTATTAACAGGAGTTATCTCCCTTTTGTAATACATCAAGGTATTACGTATGTTTCATAGATGTACTGTTCTGCCTTAAAATTAACAGAAAATGAGGTTATAGGACGACAGGATGCATTCCTGAGTGCTGGAAAGAATGGTATATATTGACATAAAAACCATGCGGAAATTTTCCACATAATATCAATGGGTCATGACAGTATTTAAATGCTCCTTACTAAGTGACGCACACCCTGTTAACATGTACAATCAAAATTAGGTGACACACCTACTGGAGACATCACTCCATACACTCGGCCAGGGCTAGATTTAGGACAACCATTGTGCAGAAGTGCTAGTCAACATAATATCTTTCCGCTAATCTTACAACAAAATATCATTCTTTTGTCTATCCCTTTGATTGTCTGATGCGGGAATATTGATTTCATCTATGTTAAAAATAAAAAACTAAGAAATACCGATAATTTTCATTTTGATTATGTGTGTAATATGATCACCGGGGATAAGTAGGAAGCGTGAGAAACATAGATTTTATATACCATGACACGATTTTTAGTTCAGATTTAACAAAGTCAACAAAATGTACCTTAGAACTGTGATGTTTTTGTTAGCTTCGGATTACTCAGTATGTAAGTACGCTTTTTGTGTCTTTTTTTAAGTTGTCAATTATTGCTTACTAAAAAAAGACGAAATTTGGATTTGATTACTTTTAGATCAAGATATGTCAAAGGTCATCATGGTTGACATGAAAAGCGATGAAATAATTCCAATCTTCAGTGAAATAAATATGAATTTTAACGGAAGTGACATTTGCAACAGTACAAGGCCTATAATTTGACAGCCTTGATATTTGTAGCAGTACACAGACCTATGGCGGGTGTCGTCGAAGAAGCAGAAGACGCGTGCTCTTCTGGAACTCCTGAATGCTTTATTCTCCTTGTACTTTTTCCTTGTAAATTTGACCCATTTTTAATTATTTTTAGTCTGGATTTCGATTCTGTTGACATGCTGTTATTCTTGTTCTTAAATCGAAAATTGGGTTTTCCTTGGATATTCTCATTTCCTCGCATATTTAGATCTATCTGGATTTAAAACATTAATTTTGCTTACCTTATTTTTTTTAATCCTGAAGCTTTTAGCTTACAGTCGAATCTCGTTATACCAAACATTTGATCTCACTTAAAATCGAATACTCGGAAAAATCGAATGTCATTGCGACCGCCGACACCTCCTCCCTTACGTCTTAGTCGGATAATTATGGTAAAACCATGCCAGTTGTTAATTGCTATCTCATCACCATGGAAAACAAACAAGGAAACATGCATGCTTTACTTGGTTTACTTGTGGAGCTGAACTACACCAAGAAGCTTTTATAGACAATACGAGTGACTGACAACATATCACAAAAAAGATTAACTATTGATCTTGATACTCCTGTTTTAATATCTAGTCATTGGGTATAAATCTGTCTTGTATTGTCAATATTAGTAAAACAAAAATACTGAAATCCAATCGCAACATTAACTCTCAATATGTCTTTGTTTTGCCATTTATGTTTGCATACAGAGCGCTAGCGCGAGTGTTAAAATGTGTAATGATGTATTATGTTTATGATCTGTTGGAATGAAATAAATCAAATATGTTTATATTCCTCTCTCTTTTCCGTGGTCTCTTATCGATGAAGGAATCATTGGTCCGTTGGTGAAGATAGGATTAAACACAGCCGTATACAAGTATTTGAGACAAACCCCCACAGTTCAAAGCAGGGTTTACCATTGTATGTAAATATAATACGACAATAAAAAGGATATGGCCAAGGTTCTTTCCTGATCGAAGCATACGTGTTTACACCGGAAGTAAGAACGTTCGTGATACCACAAAGGAATAATTGTTATATTGTCCCTATTCTATCTAATGTTAAAGTCCAATTTTTATTGATTTTTTTTCTTTTTAGCTTCTTTTGTGTTTTATGGATATTATATTTGTGACAACAGCTTACTTTATATTCAATACAGAGGAATTTCCGATTGCTTTTGTTAAGAATCCCTTCACTTAGAAAATATAATACGTTATTTCCGAACATCACCGAACATCACCGAACTGTTCGTGAAGTTTGTGTTGGATTCATTCAATGGGTATGTTTCCCTACTTAGCCACATTGTCTTGTTACATTAACACGCGAAGACTATTTTGTTTGATGTGGTCATATGTACAGTGTTTTTGGAAATAAGATAATTTTGTCTGGTCGTCAGCCTTGCGTATCTCGGTGTTCGATATTATATATGATTTATATTAAATGCCGACGTCATGATGACAGTATTTGGAAACGCCATGTAAATACACCGTTCATTTATTGATTGTCAATCCTGCGTCCGAATATCCTATCAAAACCATCAACGTCACAAGTTGTTGACTTTTGTATCATGATGTAAAATTCTTGTATTGATTCATATTTGGGATATAAATTTATCACAAATACTTACAAGCATCATCCAGACAGATAAAACGCAACACAGCCGAGGAGAGCAATGTCTCGTTTGAGTGACAGGTAAGAGAGATGATACTGAAAATGACAAAATTATTAATGAAACCAAACCTCTGTTTTGTTTAAGATGTTTTATCATACCTTATCTATATAGTCATGAACTCTTACATTTTGAACCTTAATTAGAAAGTATACGGATTTAATGTTAGTGCACATCCACATTGAGATTTCGATCACTTTGGATTTTCCTCAATCGCCTTCAAGACTTCAAACTTTAGGCCCTTAGCGTCACTGACGAGCCCTAGGAGAACGAAACCGCTGTATGACGCAGTTTTATCCATTGTTTGGATAAAAAAATGTTTATTCTTTGTGTAAGGAGATTAGCAGACTCATTTTAAATTACACTTATACTTGATATGATATTACGGCGCAAGCTTAATATACCATTTATTTTTCAGAAAATAATGAAACGTATAAATTACATTATGTACAGAAGCGGTTTGCTTTCCAACGTTAAAATCGCCACTTTCCATAACTTTCTATAGATTCTAAAATGGTGTTATTTTTCTGAAATTCAGATGTTGTCCTTCATGTTGACTTATCCTGCTTTTTCTTTCTGCAGAAAAAATAGTTTGCATAGATCGGGGGAATGAAGAAAAATGAGAACGTAATCCTAAAATAACTACATATATATATATAATGTAATCATGTGACTAACTCACAAATAAACCCAAATTACTTTCAAATAGGCATGTGTTTATGTTTACGTTTTTCTATCCCATGAAATTATATAACTGTAGTTCTCTGATCACTGAAAATGAATATCGAAATAAGAAATAAGTGGTGATGATGCCATTTCCATCCGTCCTTTTTTCCTGGTTTTATTATCGACTTTCGGTCCTTATATCTACAATTTTTATATCACAATATATACATACTAGAAATGGTTCTTATTGTTTTAGGTTCCTGATAATTTTGTTGTCATCTTTCGTGCATATGGCGTGTGGAACCTTCGAAATCAATACAAGGAAGGAATCCTTTTCTGTACAAACAACTGTTGGGGAGATCCAGTGTGGTGTGATGTGCATTAAGAACGGCCGATGTGGCGCCATCAACTATAACAGAAATAACCTCGTCTGTGAATTGGTTGAAACTCCATCTGTTACTTTGTCGGAAAACTTCGGTTGGAAACACACATCAGATTTCAGTTTTGTTGCTGTGAGTTGTTATAATGATATTTTATGTATATTCTGTTTTAGTGTAAATTCCCTTCGCTGTGATAATCTCTGTAATGTGATTCCTGTTTTAGTGTTACGTGTCATTGTTGTGAGGATCTCTGCAATCAATTTCCTGTTTTGGTGTATTCTTGCTGTTGTGAGAATCTGTAATCTATTTCCTGTTTTAGTGATACCCCTAGCTGTTGTGAGGATCTCTGTTAATTATTTCCTGTTTAGTGTTTCTTCCTGTCGTTGTTAGGATCTCTGTAATATATTTTCTGTTTTAGTGTTTCTTCCTGTCGTTGTTAGGATCTCTGTAATGTGTTTCCTGTTTTAGTGTTACTTCCTGTCGTTGTTTGGATCTCTGTAATGTGTTTCCTGTTTTAGTGTTACGTGTCATTGTTGTGAGGATCTCTGCAATTAATTTCCTGTTTTAGTGTTACTTCCTGTCGCTGTTAGGATCTCTGTAATGTATTTCCTGTTTTAGTGTTACTTCCTGTCGTTGTTAAGATCTCTGTAATGCGTTTCCTGTTTTAGCGTTACTTCCTGTCGTTGTTAAGATCTCTGTAATGTGTTTCCTGTTTTAGTGATACCCCTAGCTTTTGTGAGGATCTCTGTAATCTATTTCCTGTTTAGTGTTACTTCCTGTCGTTGGTAGGATCTCTGTAATGTGTTTCCTGTTTTAGTGTTACTTCCTGTCGTTGTTAGGATATCTGTAATGTATTTCCTGTTTTAGTGTTACTTCCTGTCGTTGTTAAGATCTCTGTAATGCGTTTCCTGTTTTAGCGTTACTTCCTGTCGTTGTTAAGATCTCTGTAATGTGTTTCCTGTTTTAGTGATACCCCTTGCTTTTGTGAGGATCTCTGTAATCTATTTCCTGTTTAGTGTTACTTCCTGTCGTTGTTAAGATCTCTGTAATGCGTTTCCTGTTTTAGTATTACTTCCTGTCGTTGTTATGATATCTGTAATGTATTTCCTGTTTTAGTGTTACTTCCTGTCGTTGTTAAGATCTCTGTAATGCGTTTCCTGTTTTAGTGTTACTTCCTGTCGTTGTTAGGATATCTGTAATATATTTCCTGTTTTAGTGTTACTTCCTGTCGTTGTTAGGATATCTGTAATGTATTTCCTGTTTTAGTGTTACTTCCTGTCGTTGTTAAGATTTCTGTAATGCGTTTCCTGTTTTAGTGTTACTTCCTGTCGTTGTTAGGATATCTGTAATGTATTTCCTGTTTTAGTGTTACTTCCTGTCGTTGTTAAGATCTCTGTAATGCGTTTCCTGTTTTAGTGTTACTTCCTGTTATTGTGAGGATCTCTTTAGTGCATTTCCTGTTTTAGTGTTACCTCTTGTTGTTGTGAGGATCTCTGTAAACTATTTCCTGTTTTAGTATTACTTCCTGTCGATGTAATCTCTGTAATATATTTCCTGTTTTAGGGTTATTTCCTCAGGTTGTGAGAATCTCCATGATGTACTTCCTGTTTTAGGGTTATTTCCTCATGTTGTGAGAATCTCCATGATGTACTTCCTGTTTTAGGGTCATTTCCTCATGTTGTGAGAATCTCCATGATGTACTTCCTGTTTTAGGATTATTTCCTCATGTTGTGAGAATCTCCATGATGTACTTCCTGTTTTAGGGTTATTTCCTCATGTTGTGAGAATCTCCATGATGTACTTCCTGTTTTAGGGTTATTTCCTCATGTGAGAAGTTCCATGATGTACTTCCTGTTTTAGGGTTATTTCCTCATGTTGTGAGAATCTCCATGATGTACTTCCTGTTTTAGGGTTATTTCCTCATGTTGTGAGAATCTCCATGATGTACTTCCTGTTTTAGGGTTATTTCCTCATGTTGTGAGAATCTCCATGATGTACTTCCTGTTTTAGGGTTATTTCCTCATGTGAGAAGTTCCATGATGTACTTCCTGTTTTAGGGTTATTTCCTCATGTTGTGAGAATCTCCATGATGTACTTCCTGTTTTAGGGTTATTTCCTCATGTTGTGAGAATCTCCATGATGTACTTCCTGTTTTAGGGTTATTTCCTCAGATTGTGAGAATCTCCGTGATGTATTTCCAGTTTTAGGGTTATTTCCTCATGTTGTGAGAATCTCCGTGATGTATTTCCTGTTTTAGGGTTATTTCCTCATGTTGTGAGAATCTCCGTGATATATTTCATGATAAAGTATCTATGAAGTATTTCTTTATTTAATGTTACTGTATATTCGATCATTTTCGCGGGGTGATCTTTTCGCAGTACATTTACGAGGTCGCGAAAATTTATTTCATGTAGTAATGAGACACGTGTGTATTAAATGTGCTTTTACATCCACATCGCAAAATTTTAATTCGTTGAAATACGTCTCGGTCGTTTTAAAAGAAAATCGCGAAAATTATTTCGCGTAAAAATGACCAGCTATACATTAGTTCTTGTTGTAGGGATCTCCAGATGTATTTCCGATTTAATTTTTAGTTTGTTAATATGCGCGATATATAATGTTTAAAAAAGTAACATCATTTTTCGAAATTTGTACTATGATTCAGGAGTCTATATTTCTTTCTCAAATAAATCCTTATTGTTCGTTTCCACACTTTGCAGGACCATCTGTGTGCGTTGGTCACAGTTCCAATATCGTTTGTATGTGTAGCACTTTCCAGCCAAACAACGGCGCTTGTTAAGAATGGTAATATTAACTTTCTAGGTGTTGTCTATATCAACACATAATGACATCTATTAATGTATTCTAACAATATCATTTTGTTCAATTCATTTTTATCATAACAAGTATCTGTTTCGGTTTAGATTACCTATACACATGTATAATGCTCTTTAGAACTTGTCCTATTTTTTTAAGTATCAAATGTGTTTAATTTGGGGCAAGTGACCCTACTCTTCTTGCTTTTAACAACAACGATAATTAACGAAGATTTTCTTCAGTGTAACTGTGTGAAGCAGACATGACGTAACGTATTTTCAGTGTGTACCGATGCCCTCCCTACACCCTCGAATGCCGTTGCTTCCACTGATAACATAGAAGTGGGAGTGTCCGTCAACTTTTCGTGTGATGGAGAATATTTTGGAGAAGGCAATGGAACCAGCACGTGCTTGGCAAATGGACAATGGTCAACACTGGACTATACGTGTATAGGTAGGCATATTACATTCTCAAATCAATATTATCGAATTAGGAAAATAACAGAAATTAATAACGAAAAGAAATAACATTGCACTCTACTATATTTACATGAAGGCTATCACAAAACGAGATGTAGATAAGAACAATATGATATTGAGTAAAAAGACTACGGTGATCATATGTTTTTTTTAACACCATAATTTAAAGAACATGACACTGAATAGTTACTAAATTGCGATCTTCCCCAAAAAAACATTTGATTTCATCATTTTCGATTTCTTTCATATTATAGCAAATACAAAATGATAGATCCCCGTTTTCTTTTTAATATCTATCGTAGCTTCACAATTGATTTGCCGAAGTGATTTTTACAGAATCAGCTTGGCCTGATGGAACTTATACTCTTCTACAGCCGTCCAATGGATGCCCTCCTGGTTTCTCCACTGGACACAGGGTTTGGTATCCTGAACATACCGGGCAAAGTACCTTCTCAGTTGACAACAATCTGCAGGGTACATATTCATATCAAAATATATCTAAGCAATGAGACTTATTCGCTATTATTAAATATCACAAAATTTAAAGTAAAAACATTGAAACATTTCGTAAACAACCAGGAGATCTTTTGTTAAATAAGTGGACTGTTGGAGTTTTACAGAATGGACTTTTTAGTGATTTTTATTGCCTTCTTTCTCTGGCTCGTTTGATAATTTGAATATCGTACGTGCAATGATGACATACACAAGAATGCTGTTATTCAGTGTCTTGTTTAATCATGCTTTGATTCTCTGTGTTACCTATCTACCTCTGTTGAATTCTGGCAAATGTGTTTAGTGTCAACACGGCGTCGCCATAAATATTGTAGCATTATAGTAACATCCAGGTTCTCACTCCTTGTGTTCTCTGTGTGAAGATCTCAATCCTTGTGTTCTCTGTGTGAAGATCTCACTCCTTGTGTTCTCTGTGTCAAGATCTCACTCCTTGTGTTCTCTGTGTCAAGTTTTCGCTCCCTGTGTTCTCTGCTTCAAGATCTCACTCCTTGTGTTCTCTGTGTCAAGTTCTCGCTCCCTGTGTTCTCTGTGTCAAGATATCACTCCTTGTGTTCTCTGTGTCAAGTTCTCGCTTCCTGTGTTCTCTGCTTCAAGATCTCACTCCTTGTGTTCTCTGTGTCAAGTTCTCGCTCCCTGTGATCTCTGTGTCAAGATCTCACTCCTTGTGTTCTCTGTGTCAAGATATCACTCCTTGTGTTCTCTGTGTCAAGTTCTCGCTCCCTGTGTTCTCTGTGTCAAGATCTCACTCCTTGTGTTCTCTGTGTCAAGATATCACTCCTTGTGTTCTCTGTGTCAAGTTCTCGCTCCCTGTGTTCTCTGCTTCAAGATCTCACTCCTTGTGTTCTCTGTGTCAAGTTCTCGCTCCATGTGTTCTCTGTGTCAAGATATCACTCCTTGTGTTCTCTGTGTCAAGATCTCACTCCTTGTGTTCTCTGTGTCAAGATCTCACTCCTTGTGTTCTCCTTCTTCGGTCGAATTGATTACTTTTTCATTCCTCGAATTTCGTAAGATCCCTCTGTCTTCAATTTGGATAGAAGTTTTGAATTAGCACAAAGGAGTCAATGACACAAATCTATCTTATTCTAAAGAAATGGCGTACATACTGTGTTCTTACCCGATAGGTTATGCTAATCACAGTCAAATTGCCTGGCACTTCTGTACAAAGATAGAGGCTGAGGCCTCCGACACCTGGCCAGCTGGGAACTACTGTATCTTAAGGAATGGCGGCACATGTCCGACAGGTAGGCATAACTACTGTCAAGGGGGGACTTCATCTCCGATTCATGTCTGTCGTAATCTAGCATATATGGCGGCACATGTCCGACAGGTAGGCATAACTACTGTCAAGGGGGGACTTCATCTCCGATTCATGTCTGTCGTAACCTAGCATATATCAGATGAATCTGTATATTGTACGTAAAGGTAAACCCGTAGAGTATCATTATATATGGTACATTTAATCCTAAAAAGTATTTCAGCAAACCATCAAAAAGAGGCAAAAATTAGATTACCATGGTATAAACTATATATTGGAACCGAAGGATTTGATAAGTAAACGAAGAAGGAAGCTAGATTTGTGCATATTACAACACTGGTGATAATGAAGATGAATATCATTTCATTGTGAAATGTAACCGTTATATAGATACACAAAAACGTTTTATTAAAATGTATTGTTATATAAAACTTTTATGGTGAATACAACTTTTGGAAACGGAGAATAAGAAAGATTTTTTCAAGTTTAAGAAAATGTATAAGCTTCAATAATAAATACGTTTAAATTCATTCACATTTGCGCTATGGTCGTGTATGTGAGGTCTGTGCGTGCTTGTGAGTTTTTTTATTTCAATGAAAATAATTAGTCTTGAAGAAAGTAATTAATTATGCATTTCTTTCCATCAGATCGTGAGTGATTAGTAATATAAATAATAAACTATTCGGATATTTTGGTTGATTTGTTACCAAGGACCAATTACAACGTAACGAAATTGCAGTGGAGATGATTTAATAATAGACCGTCTAACCTTAGGGACTCCTCATACTAGGCGCAAAAATGTTAACATCGATCAAAGGGTTGTACTATGCCCCAAGATATATGAATTCAATGAGATAATTTCGTATTTTGATAATCGCTACAGATAGACAGACAGACAGACAGACAGACACAATGGATGACCCCCGACCCGAAGCAGCATAAGTTGTATACTTAAATTGTAAACATTCGTGCCTGTTTACTAATTCAAATATGATATATAATATAAAAACATGTTATTTATCTAATACAAGAAATAAATCTTTTTGTTTTATAAGATTCAACACCTTAATTAACAATTCTTCAAAACAGAGAAAATGTACCGTTTGAGAACAGCTCTTTTTCGCATCTACTTTTTTATTAACCCATATCTAAGACTTAAAAACATATAATAACTGAACACCTGAGTGGATGGTAACTACAGAACAGGTGTGTATTTCAACAAACGTTTCCTAATTTGGTGTCGAGGATTTAAATTTCAGTATTCAACTCCACGTTAGAAAAGCTCGGTTAAGATTTCTTGTGCTGTATAGTATCAATATACTGCCTTTTGGAGGGTTTTCCGGTGGTTCTATAACCTTCGACGAGGATGACAGTGCGCCCAGCAGTAGACCTCAGGGAACGGGTACTCTACCGGACGGAAACTACAACACCAACTCTAAATTGTACTTCTGCTGCAAGTAGGTCACGTCAGTCCTAACATGTTAGATCACTCTCTAGGTAGAACCTTTCATATCCTTAGAGATTGAGAGCAGAAAAATTAGTCTCTTCCTCACCTATTCTTTCTAGTTGATAAGCGTGAAATCAACTGATTTGAAATGTTATACAGTTATAACAACCGCTTCAGAAGAAGTTTTGAGGTAAATAACAAAATGAAATGTAAAATATGTTAATGACTGAAAATAGATAAAAATTCCTATATACAAAATTAACAATAACCCTTCCCCCTTTACACACATAACTCCACCCCCAGCGAAATAATGACAATGTGAAAAGTGACACCGGACAGCATAAGTTCTCGACGGTCATTGAAACCATGTGATATTAAAGATATCAAACAAATTAATTTCATATTCTGGCACTCAATCCGATTACTCGAAAGTTGCTTGTTAGAACTGGATCAACAAAATAACTGGTTATCTCCACAATATTGAACACACAGACTGATCCGAAGAAAGAAAAAGGACAGTGTACACTTATATATTTCAGACTTATGGACAATACAATAATTGTCCGTTACTAAATAAGTGATTTCAATTTCAGAAACGATGGGTCTGTGGCCATTCAAGCCACATTCCCAAGATCTACGCCATTTATCCTGTACCCATACACGGTGGCTAGTTGTCAGTTGGTCAGTGATATGACGGATGTGCCCGGATACACCTTCTTTGACTCCGAACCTAATGGTAACGTAGACGACTCTGATGGAAGCATTCCATACACCACGAACGGTCCACCTACCTGGTATATTCACCACTGTTACTACCATTAGGAAGGAACCGGGTCCCAAATTTGGACGAGAGTTAACATCTAATATATGAGAGTTTGGGGTTTACCTGGATTAATGGCTCGGCCATAGGTTTGATGACGTCATTCACGAAGTCTGTGACATGTTATCATGTCGCTCACGTGCCACAGCGTTATAGATAGAGTGATGTATTTCTTAGATGTCATTGTGAATATTTTCTATTTTCTCGTAAAACTGACTGGAAATGACCGATTGTCCATTAAAAAATAAGCAAGAGCTTACATAATGATGTAAACAAGTTTTTGACTAACTGTGAATACTGATAATATGGCGAAAGCTACCTAACTATTTCCCTGGAAACAGAATGTTACTTCTATATCGGAAATATAATAGACCCAGTGTTGTTTGGCAAAGAAGAATTGAAGATCGAATATTAAACATCTTATACAACACAACAGCTTTAGACCAAATATGTCATTAACATGTTATTTACCATTTTCCGTCGGTTGTATTACAAAGCTTCATTTACAGTTCTCCGTCAGTTGTATTACAAAGCTGTATTTACAGTTCCCCAGCATTTGTATTACAAAGCTTTATTTACAGTACTCCGTCAGTTGTATTACAAAGCTTTATTTACAGTTCTCCGTCAGTTGTATTACAAAACTTTATTTACAGTTCTCCGTCAATGGTATTACAAAGCTTTATTTACAGTTCTCCATCAGTTGTATTACAAAGCTTTATTTACAGTTCTCCGTCAATGGTATTACAAAGCTTTATTTACAGTTCTCCTTCAATTGTATTACAAAGCTTTATTTACAGTTCTCCGTCAGTTGTATTACAAAGCTTTATTTACCGTTCTCCGTCAGTTGTATTACAAAGCTTTATTTACAGTTCTCCGTCAGTTGTATTACAAAGCTTTATTTACAGTTCTCCGTCAGTTGTATTACAAAGTTTTATTTACAGTTCTCCGTCAGTTGTATTACAATGCTTTATTTACAGTTCTCTATTTGGTTCTCTGTATTTTATTCATATTAGTTTTGAAAATATTTACTATATAAATAATTGCCATCTCGTTACATTCAGTTCGATTCTCAAAAGTGATATAATAACATATTTAATGGTGGCAAATGGTAACTCGTTTCGTTATTTCTTCAAACTGTTCATCGCAACGACAGATTAAAATAAAGAAAACGAGACGTCCAAAGTATTCCACCCCACAAGTCATCCTTATTTCTCCCCAGTGAGAGATGACGATAATCTTCCTCTGTCGTTCCGCGGGGTGAGGTAATGATAATTTGTATGAATCATCTATGTAACCATATGACATGTCAGTTAAAAATTATCAGCTGACAGAGGGATAAAGCATTGTATACATGGAGTTGTTGCCCTTCACTTTGCTTGCGAAAATAATAGATGAGTATAGGGGAAACGACATTATCGTGTAAAAGATAACAGAATCGATGATGTTTGGAGCGCAATAATGCAAAAACATATCAAGAAAAAGACATGGCGACGGTGAGCTGTTCTGGAGATTTTTTTATAGATAAACAGACAGAAATTTATTTTAGACAAAACCAGACATGTTAAGATGTCATGGGTGCAAAATATTCCTTACATTGTTGTTTATTAAATAACGCTAGTTTGTTGACTTAAAGAGTTTTGTTTTTTATTTTGTTATGATACTGGTTGAAAGGAATATTATGTATATCTCAACCATGGTACAGAACGAAAGCCTTCTTCACAAGAGCAAACGCTGGACTACAGACCGGAAGTGAGACAGTGTCAAGGGAGGCAAAGGTCAAGGAAAGACATTGTAATCTTATCCCATAATTAGTGGCCTCTTACGACCATGTCAAGGCTACCTGCACTACCGGTAGGGCAAATAAAGGGATAATTATCTTTGTTAAAGAGGTCACACTCTGCAATTGGAAATACTATGTTATAGTGGTCACACTCTACAACAGGGGAAATGCTTCGTTTATAGAGGTCACACTCTACAGCAGAGGATACTATGTTATAGAGGTCACACTCTACAACAGGGGAAATGCTTTGTTTATAGAGGTCACACTCTACAATAGGAAATGCTTTGTTATAGAGGTCACACTCTACAGCAGAGGATACTATGTTATAGAGGTCACACTCTACAACAGGGGAAATGCTTTGTTTATAGAGGTCACACTCTACAATAGGAAATGCTTTGTTATAGAGGTCACACTCTACAACGGGGAAATGCTTTGTTATAGAGGTCACACTCTACAGCAGAGGATACTATGTTATAGAGGTCACATTCTACAACAGAGGAAATGTTTTGTTTATAGAGGTCACACTCTACAACGAATAGGATATGTTTGTTATAGATATAAATACACTTGTAAATAGAATTAGTATGATCTCAATTAAGGCAACAATGGTACTGCATCATTTGGGACAATAAAATCCCGACCTCGTCAGTTTTGCCGATTACTTCAAGCCGGTTTCCATGTCCTGGTTTGATATGGAATGTAGAAGTACTGAAAAGATATACAGACGATGTAAGCTTCTGTGTCTAAAGTACAAAATTATCCAGTTATGTAAACGGAAGCTGAAAAGCCCTACAGGGCAACTACGTATAAAAATATCTGTATGTACATAGGAAGTATAAGGAACTTAAGAATTATGAATATTAAAATTAGCAATCCAAAGGAGCAATTATTGATTACACAATCAGATATGACGGTAGATACTCTCTATAATTTGAATACCAATAACTATCCAGACTCTCTGATGTGATTCCAATGTGGTGGTTCGTTTTAATATTTCTCACATTGATAATAATCACTTCGATATACGTTCGTAGTAAATAGATAATATAATTAATGGTATGATAACTCAGATATCGGTTGAAAATTAAAAATTGAGAAATAGCAAAGCCAGTTCTGATGATGATATTGTTTATAATACGAATCAAGGTGTCGAGTTCAGAATTCAATTTAATGGCGAAAAATTCTGCCACTTTCTGATGTGAAAACGGATTGGGGCAAAGTGAAAATATCTTAACATTTTTTTTTTTTTTTTTTGTGCTGAAAGAGCTTTAATTAACCAAAATAACGTCATAGGTTCAAGCTCTGTAAATAGGGAAATTTAAGAACATTTACATGTATATCTCAAAAAACAAAGGCTCTTTTTAAGAGTATTGTAGACATTGGGTTATTATATATGAATGTGATCTCTGTTACACATGGGATATGCAAAGTACTACAAATATCAAGCGGTTCAAGTTATAATGCTTATTTATTACAACATGCTCTTATGAAAACACTGATTTTGTTGTTCTGTTGAATAAAACCCTTACAGTCAATAAAATGGAAAGCAATTTTATTGCAACATGTGCGCCTTTAAATTGGTTTTTAACACACAAAAATACTCTCGATTTAGGAGTATGACATTAAAATAAAACTTCAAAAGTCTTAATGTAAGTCTGGGGTATGACATGTGTTATAAATACATTATCACGCCTCTGTTCATATTTTTGCGGGAATATTAGCTTGACGATTAAAAACAGACTAGAGTTGCTCCCCTTACCTATTACACAGAAGATGGCGCTGTGATCGACGTCATTATCCGCCATCTTGTTGCTGATTCAGAATATAATCACAGATACGATTCAAAGCAGGTATATTATCATTGAATTTCTTAGGTATATAAATTCAATTTTATACTTAAAATGTCATATGGAGTCAGATGTCTTTCACCATCCCAACTAAATCTCAATTATGCTCACATCAAATTAGACAGACTTAATTCTATGTGGTCGAAACCGGTATCACCTGACTTCAGACACTTCCCATTTGATGTTTGTTGACATTCGCAGACTTTGATAGATGTACTACGAAACCTGTTATTCATGCTTGTTGTAAATTCATTAACTAACAAGCAATAGCATTTGCACTCCACATCGTCAGAAGCAACGTTGACTACTTATCGAAGAGACTTTGTTCGTTCAATGAATGTCATTTGGCATACGCTAATATGCTGGGGATCTGCCCTCATTAGATTTCATGGGAGATAGCTGGGACTCAGTGAAACTGCTCTCTTGTGTGGAAGTTTTTGGTTAAATGTATTAAAATACTTCCGCATAGAAAATATGTAACAATGACACAAACGTGCAGAAATTGTGTAGGCCCTGAAAACTTGTATGTGCCTTGACTTGTTTCACAAAAAAGATATGCGAGGTAAATTCTTTATTTTTTTTGTTAATGAAAAGAAGAGCATTTGAATCCGCTAGTAAATTATGGTACTGTGAATTTCAGGCCTGTGAATTTATACATCATACTTTAATGTATTGGTTGCATTATTTGAACCAGGGAGGTGGATAACATATTACTTAATCAATGTTTATTGTAAATTATAGGGCACAAGTGGAATATATGTTGTTGTTGTAGGGGTAAATAAAAAGGCTTGAAAGAGGTAAAGGGCATTTATCCACGATCAAAAGGAGGACAGTACATAATGACTACAAAGACATATATTTACCTTCAAAGGGACTAAATTTTGGCGATTCAATGCATGCCAGTTTATCTTGTAGCTTCCAGTATTATTTTTTCATGAGATAAAGTGCATTTGTTCCAGTTTCAAAGTTGATGAATTGATGAGAAAGGGGTAGTGTGCCTCTGTAGGATATCAAACCTGCAGGCTGCACACCCTGAGTTGGCTGCTCTACGTATACCAAAGATAAAGGGAACTTCCTCCTAGCGTGAAGCTAGAAGATATTTAATCCTTATATCCGGGACAGGTCAGGTAGAATACATATAAGAACACTACACATATATATAATGTATCAAAATACATTTACTTTGACTTTGTCTCAATAGAGGGTTGGGTCGTCTCACATAAAGAATTAGCTTGTTTATTGAAAATATATAAACTACCTTTGTTTGTTTCTTTTTTTTGCATAGGAATTTTTACAGCGATGGCGGCGGGCCCTTACAACTACTCCTATATATTTAAATATATCATTATAGGAGACATGGGTGTAGGAAAGTCATGTCTCTTACACCAGTTTACAGAAAAAAAGTGTAAGTTCAAATTTATCTAATTCATATCCAGACTATCGGTAACATACAATGTGATTGATGTATTACTAGAGTAAGTAAAATTATTGTGGCTTTCAGCTATCAGAAAGATACGAATTTATGATGCTACCTGATAAGTTTGTTTATATTATTAGGTAGATGATTTATTTAAATCCCCAAGAATGTGTAATTATACAATTATTGACAAATAGAAATATTTCAAAAAATGTGTAAATAACTTTTTCAGTTATGGCAGATTGTCCACACACGATAGGTGTCGAGTTTGGTACTAGGTAAGTAGCTTTGTGATCACATTCAAATTCAGTATTAAACCATCATCATCTTTGTCTGTCTTCTGTTCATAATCAATTCTTGCTATACAGCTATTTCCCAGGGAGTAGTGGATGGATCTTTCTCAAATTTCATATGTATGTTCCCTTTGGTCATTAGTTGTGCATTTTGATTTTGGGACTGGCCAGCAAAAAAAAGGCAATTTTAGATTTTGACAACAAAAATTATCGCTATTTTTTAGAAGTACAGGATTGATTTTTATTTTGAAATATTGTTATCACTATTTCATGAGAACAGTACAGGGTTGATCCTTCAGAAATTTAATATGTACATTGTCTTTGGTGCCTGGTTATGCTCTTTTGATTTTGGGACTGGTCATGATAAAGGGAAAAAGCTGACAGATTTGGGGCCAATTCCCAATGCAAAATAGTATGATTTTTTCCCAATTTAGACCAAAAGTTGTCCTAATTCTAAGGAAAACACCGTTATTTTTCCCAAATCTAAGGGCCTCAGGCCCCAGTCCCAAAATGGGGTGTGAGAGCCCTGCTATATTATATGAAACTCTGTTTGATATGAAGAAAGAATGTTTCAGTGTCATATGTCACGGTGGAGTAATTAATTCAAGTTGGTATTTTTGTAACAAAGTAGAGATATTGTTACCAAAGAACAAATAAACATGCACAGTAGGGAGAGAGAAAATCTGTACACAAAATTTTAAAAATTACCTGCAATAATTTTTATGAATATTGAAATCAGATTATCAGACTTTTTTGAAAATATTCTTTATTGATTTTAGAATTATAGAGGTATCAGGTCAAAAGATAAAGCTTCAGATTTGGGATACAGCCGGCCAGGAAAGGTTCCGAGCAGTAACCAGGAGTTACTACAGAGGGGCTGCTGGAGCCCTTATGGTCTATGATATTACAAGGTTGGTAGTAGTTTCTGTAGGGGGTTGTTATGTAGCTGATGCTGTCATGCTGTACAAGATGAATTGCTCCAGTGTTTTGATATGGGCATTTTCAGTCAGTCATTTGGCTGGAAATAACAAAGGATCAATCAGTGACAAAGTTAGTTCATCATAACAACAATACTCCATAAAATCCTGAATTTCTAAGGATCTAGAGTGTTTTCATAAATCACGAAACTCTGGCATATTAATGTATATTGAAACGAAAAAGAAACGCAACATGGAAAAATAAATAGATTTTTGCATTAACACAAACCAAAGCATTCCAAATTTTATCCAGGTGTCTTAGCAGTTACTGTAATCAATCGCGCATGATGGCTGGGTTATATGCTGTATCGATACGCACATCAATGCCTGCGGGGCAAATAACGCAAATTGCACATGCAACCTTCACTGTATATTTCATTTTGTAATCTGAAGGTCACAAAATTGTCTCTGATTGTGCCAGCAACAAAATCCAGTGTATAAATGTTGAATGGCGTCTGATTGAAATGGGAAGGCTAAACCAAAATCAGCGTAACGCCGTCGCTCAGACAAAGGTTGCGAGGATGTTTGGAGTACACAGAAGCACCATCTCTCGTCTCTTCAAACGTTTGAGAGACACAGGAACAACGGCTGATCATCCAAGATCCGGATGTCCACGAGTTACCACCCGACGTCAAGATCGCACCATTAGACTGATGCACTTGCGCAACAGATTTTTAACAGCAACAGAAACTGCCAATGTTATTCCTGGTACCCACAATAATAGAATCAGCTGTGACACTGTTTTGAACCATCTGCGTGAAACTGGATTAAGGCCGTGGTATCCTTATATTGGACAAATCAAGATTCACGTTGTATAGGGCAGACGGACGTAAACATGTTTTTAGGCGTACATGAGAACATTACGCTGATTGTTTTGTGGTTGAGCGAGATCGCTTTGGAGGTGGCGGTGTTATGGTGTGGGTTGGCATATGTCATGGTCATAAAACTCCCCTTGTCATTGTCCACAACAATCTAACAGCCCAAAGATACCATGATGACATTTTAGAGCCTGTTGCCGTACCATTTGTTCTTCAGCACAACATTACGCTACAGCAAGATAATGCTAGAGCACATGTCGCCAGGCTTAGCAAAGACTTTCTGAACGCCAACAATGTCAACATGATGAGGTGGGATATCTTAGACAGGCGCGTTAGAAAACGTCGTAATCCGCCACCAACGTTACAACAGTTGGAAAAGCCCTTGTGAAGGAATGCAACAACATCACTGTTGCACAAGTGAATCGCCTGATCGACTCCATGACAAGGCATGTAAGAGCTGCAATCCAGAAAAATGGTGCCCATACTCGGTACTGACGTTTTACTTGAAACAAATGCCACCCCCGGCTCATTTGATAAATTATTGTGCAAAATTACCTAAACCAATCTTTGTTTTTAAAATTAAAATGGAATCTTTGGTCATTTGATATGACTTATAATGAAATGAATTGTAAATTTAATTTCAACTTAATAGAAAAATACATTTAAGTTTGCCGTGTTGCATTTCTTTTTCGTTTCAGTATATTTATTAAGGAGTGCAGTGATGATCAAAAGAAAACCATAAATGAGAGAATGGCAACTGGAATATTTTTTTCTTTTTATTTATGAAGTAAAAAAAATGTAAAAAATATAAATAAACATTTCTCTTCAACAGAAACCTTAAATTTTTGTAATAAGTCATTGTTCATATTGTTTATATTAAGAAATATTGTTTTCTCTCCAGATACATAGTATTAATCTTACATGTAAATTAGATACATGGTTACTAGATTTTTTCTGTTTTCAAAGTCTCTGTCATCAATAATTTGTACCAGTTTGTGTTTGTTATTACTGCATTCCCTTTCTCTATTCATTACAGGAGGAGTACATATAATCATCTTAGCAGCTGGTTAACAGACGCAAGGAACCTTACAAACCCTAATACAGTAAGTATTACTATAGATTCATAACTTCATAAATAACCGCTGGTTGATGGACAAGCAGAACAAGTATTAATACTTGAGGTGTAATGATACACCAGAAGCATATCATGAGACTGTATAACAATATGTATCGCAACATAATATTGTTCATTGACTTGACATAAATTATGTGTGTGTGGATACCAACTGGTCACAGAAACATTTCACTCTTACAAGCGTCTAACTTTAAAAAAAAACTTAAAAGGGCCAGTGCAAGTTTAGCAACAGTTAACATTTATTGAGAATCCAGACGAAATTAATATTAAAAGCTGAAAATGTGATATATGTTGATATACAGGTACACAGTTTTTTTACCACAGTTGAATGCTATTTTTTGGTGTATTGAGACATAGAGCCAAATCTGTGTCACTTTTACTGGTGGATGGATGGGTCCTTTATCTTATATCTTGATACCCTAATGTGTGCAGGTAATAGTAGATTGATAAAATAATAATACAAATATTCATCACAAATATCATTTATTGCTGGTTTCATCGGCCTGTAGAAAGCCAGACGGTCATTTTAAGGTGGAATCTCTTCAGAATGGTTGATGGTGCCTTACTAAACAACATGCATATAAAAGGCCTGCTACATGCAATTCGGATCTATTATGGTGAAATGTCTTGCTTAAGGTCACAACTATGTCAGCACATGTACAAACCGGTCAATTTTATGCTCACTGCAAAAATTCTGACAACATGTATCAGTGAACTTGAAATCTCCTCCCACACTTTCAATCAATCATTTTTTCAAACTTAGTGAAGTTAAAAACATAACATGAAAATCACGTTTTCTTGAATGGCTGTAATTGGAATTTTTTAATTTGTACTTGGAATAGTAACTGCATCTTGTTGTTTTCATAATGTTAACCTTGTTCAGAGATCTCCCCCCACAGTTTTCAAATGATTAATTTCTAACTTAGTAAACTTAAGTTATTGCCCCTTGTTGAGTTCATGATATTGATATGTCTGGAGATCTCCCCACTCACTTTTCAGTTTTCTCAACCCAATTTCTTGGAATCTTTTTAACCATTACATGGTTACATTACATTTCTATGCAACTTGGTAGGCTTAGAAACTACAAGGAATTATGTTCTTGTGAACAGCATTTTGATTCAACGAAATTTCGAAATGTTATTGCCTTTGGTTATTTTCAGCATTTTTTTAATCTTGTCCTGAGATTTCGTTTAGTATTCTGCTCATGTCTTTAAAACTTGGTATGCTTTCTTTTTTCCAGTTAAAATTTTCACACATTATTACCATTTCAATATTTGTATTTTCTTTAAAATAAGTCCTGAACAATTTATTGGCAGGGGATATGCGTATATTCTACTATGTCTGGGTTTCTATATAGATGGTATTCCTATTAGACACTTTAGTCTGTGGTTAGATGGCTTTCCTGAAATAATTTGATGAATTACAATGAATAACATGATTTGTAATTTCTTTCATGTTCAAATGGTGGAGTCATTGTTTCAAAAGTGCTGTGTTCTCAATAAGATGAAAAAAGTAAAATAAATGCTGTTGATACGAGGTCAGCAAATATCAAAGGATTTAGAAAATTCACTACACTAGATGTATGCTTGAGAGGTTATTCATGGCTTACATTTTCTAGTCACTGAGTTTTTCAGAATTCATTAAACTAAACACATAATTTATGATGCAAAATCATACATTATTTTTTCTTAAAATAACTGATAGAATTTCCCAACTTTATCTTCTATCAGTTGATTTTAAGTGAGATAAAGGACCAATCATGATATCTGAATGATTCCTGTCACTACTCCATATCTGTACCTTCATATTTAATATACAATTTCTTTTCGTTTTCTTACAGGTAATATTTTTGATTGGAAACAAATCTGATTTAGAAGCACAGAGAGATGTAACATATGAAGAAGCAAAACAATTTGCAGATGAAAATGGTAACATTGATTTACTTCAGGAAAGAGTAAAGTTTATCATAGTTAAATAAAAAAGACACATTTTTAAGCATTTATTGTTTAATTGGAGAAATTTCAAACTATGTTATAGATTAGTATTTTGTTTTGGTAGTTTAATGTCATGCACATTGTATGTTTGCATTATATGGATAATGTAGTTCAACTTACCTTAATTTGTTTGTGAAATGATTTCTGTAACATGTTCCAACATAGAAAATCACTGGAACTGTTCATTCTAGTTGGTCTCTTGTCTGGTTAAACAAAACAATGCATGAACTCGGTTTTAGAAAGACGTTTGGTTTTGACCTCAATTATATATTTCTTTTCATCATAATCAATGAAAAGAATAACTAGGGATGTCACAAATATTTGTGTGGTTGGAAGATATTTGAATACAAAAATGATATTCAAATACTCCTTTTCACAATTGATTTATGTCAATGTTTTGAGGGTAGATAAAATCAATTCAGTCATTGTTGGTGAATTGTCAAATTTTCATTCTGAATATAATTTTGTCAGCAAAATCATCAAAGTAGTATTAGTGTTTGAAGTAGTATAATTCATCATGACACTAATTAGCTTATCAAGGGAGGGCTTTACGTCACCCCTATTAAGGTAAATTTCACACCAGCAAAGATCAAAGTCATATCTGTAATATTGTCCTGAAGATTGGTCTTAACTATTGTTGGTCACTTTAATCAGCATTTAACCAGGTCATATCTGTTAGATGTTCATGGATGGAATAACAGATGTAACTGGTCTTCCTGCAGACATTTTAATAGCTATGTTGACCACCACCACTGAACCGGATGTGGATTTAGCATTATTTTCATAGATACATTAATAGTGAAATAATTTATGCTGTGAAGCACTATTACAATCATTAAATTGATAAAAAGGCATTAATATGTTTTGATAACATTCTTTTTTTCCAAGTTCTGAAATATGAGAGAATATGTGTCTTCACTTCTTACCATTTCCTGTGACATATTTCCCTGCTGTTTTTGCATTTTTACCGAGCTCATAGGCCTAGAAATTGATCTCATATCTCACAACTAACATTTTTCGTATACCTAGTTGTGTTTCGTTCATCATATTGAAAACATTGAATCACTGCAGGTACTGTATTCATAAAATGTTAACAGTACAGTAAGGTAGGCCTCTTGTGTAATGACTGCCCTCTTAAAGTGAAAGTCACATTCTGTATGGAATTAACATAAAAATGAATATTTGATAGTAATCTGTTAAATTGACATCCCTAGAAATAACACCTCAATATCGTGAACATCTTTAGCTCACTTCTTCAAAGAAGAGGAATAGCAAATGCCACTTTGGTGTAGGTGTTAGTTAATTCAGTTTAACTGTGTACATTCAAATATACCTGTTTTTGGTAAAACCTTTCATTTTTTCAATCTTCAGGTTTGATGTTTTTGGAGTGCAGTGCCAAAACGTGAGTATACCTTAATGAACTTTCTCTCTTTTTTTTATGCGCCCGCCATTTATGGCCGGGGGCATATAGCGTTGCCCATGTCCGTCCGTCGCGTTGCGTCCCAAATCAGTATATACCACCTAACAACTTCATTCGGAAGGCAATTTTCATGAAACTTCATACAAATATCAAGTATGGAAAGACCTCATGCAGTGGTGAATTTCTCGGCATTGTAAAAAAAGATGGCCACCAGGGGGAGATAACTCAAAAAAGAGGAACATCATCTTGTTTCTACATAATTTGGTACTTGTGGGTTTTAAGGCATAAGGAACTAATATACTCCCTCATTTTTTCCAGAGAACAAAATTCCAAATTCATGTACATTAAATCAACTTGTCAATTTAAGTATGAAACTTCAGTTGTACATAGTTGCATACAAATTAACAAAATCATCTCTTTCGGACCTTTCACTATTATTTCACATGGGGGGCGGGGGCATTCATGTCTTACAGACATTTTCTAGTTTGAGGCAAAATGTAATGTATTCCAGCATTCATTAATCACTATACAGTGAATCTTATAAGATTGAAATTTTAAATTGAGCTTTTTGGACCTGCCTTGGCATACAATGGATTCCAAATGACATTTTTCATTTTAATGATTAGTGACTAATATTTAAATATAATGAAATGTAAGCATGCATTCATTTGTTCTGGCATCTGATGTACATGTGATATATTAATAATATTTTACTCTTGTAATAAATTGTAAAGCATAAGTTTCAATTATTTATTTATCAGGACTGCTGATGATAGACACCTGCTTTCAAATGTTCTTTTTCTTTCCAGTGGTGATAATGTAGAAGATGCTTTCTTAGATACAGCAAAGAAAATCTACCAAAATATACAAGATGGAAGGTAAAGATTACTTTTTAATGTACCAGGCATTAATATGTACAATATCAATACTGTGGAAGGAAACTGCATCACCACGTGGATGATCTGGTGTCCTCCCACAGTAAGACCCCTAGCACGTTTCAGTCCAGGCCAACAACAGTTAGACCCCTCGCACGTTTCAGTCTAGGCAAACAAGAGTGATTAATAGAAGTTAGAAAAAGTCTTTTAGAATTATTGTAAAATAAAGCAAGTTTAAATTTAAAGTCAATAAGGAAAATATTATATGTTGTCTAAGAGTACTTCAGCCGGTACAAGTGAAGAACAATTGTTTTATTTAAGTTACGGTTTTTAGAATTGCTAGATAGTAGATGGTTTGTAGAGTTATTTTACCTCATCTCAGAAGAAATTTTATGTTCTATGTCTTCATTTGCTTTTAATATCGAAAAGTGTCCTAGTGTCCTAATAATAATAGGTCACAGTAAGAATTGTTACAGCATAAGTTAAGATATAAGTGTAAGTACCAAATGGAGTTTCTTATGTAAAAGTTGTATTTTTCGACTTAAAAATGTTTGCAATCACAATATATCATTAAAAAATTGAATTATTATAATTCACCTTTTTCAATATTATATATAAACTTAGATTTGTATTTATCAATATTTTGCAGACAAATATTTCTAGTACCCATCAACATTATACACAAATAAATGTTTCCAGTATCTACCAACATTATACATAGACAAATATTTATATTATCTACCAACATTATACATACACAAATATTTCTAGAATCTTTCAATATTATACAGACATGTATTACTACATGTAGTATCTAGTATCTATCTATATTACTTATGTACTTGTATTTCTAGTATCTTTCAATACAGTATTACTTGTATAGATCTTTATAGGTACTTAGACAGATATAACAACAAAATGGAGTGACTTTTGATATTGTACATAGATATATATTACTAGTGTCAATAACAGTGTTGTATAAAAAGGATGATGTTATAGTTGTTTGCATTGAAATAATATGTTTCAAATGTTGTAAGTTGTCTTTGAAAAACATAGCAGAAAAAGTCCTTGATAGGCAAAGTTTTCTGGACAAAAAGGATTGGTTGCTATTCCAAATCATGACGCATTGTGTCAACTTTTTCAGTTTGGACCTCAATGCAGCGGAGTCTGGGGTACAGCACAAACCTGCAACGCCAAGGAATGCGATAAATAATGACCAAGCACCCAACAAAGAGGGCTGCGCTTGTTAATAGCATGGACGCTGTGTGACGTATGATGAGAGCTGTACACACTGTACAAATCTATAATTACAAACTATCCATTCCATGGACACATGCATGAAGGAGAGTGAAAAAGAAGGGAGAAAACTCTTTCACACACACGAGTATTTTTGGGTCATTTTCCAAACCTCAAAAACTCATTGTTGTTCACTTGTAAATTGCAGTTAAAACCAAGCACCTTAAAAATAGAAGAAAACAAAAAAATAATTTTATGATTTGTTTAGAACTTTATGATCAAATCTTGCATGAAAATTTTTGTCACTTCGAAGATTCTGTTATAAAAGTTGCTGTAATAGTTTGTCAAATTTTGTCCAACTGAAGTAGATGAAAGATTGTCTTTGCTTAATATATAATATTGGTTGGTATCTTTGATTTTCTTACTCTTTTTGTAGAAAAGAATTTTTACTTATTGATGAAAAAAAATTTATGGCCCCAATGAACAACGAGGATTGAGTTGCCTGAAGAGGCATATGGATGTGAAACAGGATGCTGCGTTTATTAGTCAGCATGACTTGTGTATTTGGCAATGGTGGACATGCGAGTGACGAGACTGAATGATGAGTTTTGTGATGTGTGAGAGAAGCCATATTATATGTGATATTTTGTCCACATGATACATGTATATCCTATGAGATAAAACATTCTTCAATTTTTTTCTGTACAAGTTGAGAATCTACACGCATCATATTTGTATGTGCAATCGTTGAATGACATTTAAAAAAAAATGTATGTTTCCAACTCACAGCTGCTGTACAGATATTGTTTAGTAGTTATATGGTATAACACACACTAAGCTCCTCATACCAGCACTAATATTTATCTTTCTCTTTAATTCCTTTTGATCTTAACTGGTGTTTTGGTTTTGTGACACATTCTTTGAAATTACATATACACATACAAATTCGGTATGTACTTTGTCTTTGACTTTTGGCAACAGATTTTAGATTTAAACGTTATCTAGTTATAAAAGGATTGATATTCCATGTTCATTGAAGTGCATTGAAAGTACAAGTTATCATGTCTCCACCTTGTCAGGCTAGTTGAAGTGATATCAATGTCAATATACACTTAATTGATTGTAGTTTATGATGTTGTAACCTCACATTTTCTCTTTCAAGTGCTAGAATGTACTGTTATCTATATCATTTGGTCACTTCCAACCACGGTAAGACAAATTCATTCATTTTAAATGATAGTCCACTTTCATGTTGATCACATGGTGACAGTTGACCACCATCTCTCATTTCATTAGCGATATAATAGGTATCCTTTTAGTTATGTCAAGCAGATAGATTTAATTAAACAGTATATATGATGTATTTACATAAGTTCTGTATCACAGGGAGACTGTAAATTGAAAACTTGTATGATTTACAGACTGTTTTAGTGTATAGAATGTCCAACAGTTATAGGAATATGTCTGACGTTCTGCGTTATCTGACATGTATGATGTCTTACATAGGTTGTAATTTGGAACTGGCTAATTTATGATACATATCATATATGTAGTATTAGAAGCAATATGAAGAAGAAAGATAAATCTTGTGTGAACATTAGACAGGTTATTACACAGCCAGGTTTTAGTTATCTCTTGTCAGATATACCATGAAGGATATCAGTTTTAAATAAGAAAACATAACAAAGGTGTTACACTTCACTAGTCTTAAGGTAATACTTTTACAGCTAACTTCTTGTCACTGATGGTACTAAGCAATTAACATGTTTACAGCACTGAACACTATTACTTGGCATGTCATTCTTCATATGATAATGCTGTACAGCAGTTACCTTGTAATTTACAGCATTTTTACTATTTCAATATTGGTTACAATGTGATGGGTGGGAGGCAGGATTTCGAAGGCAACAATTTTTTTAAGTTGAAATTGATAGTTTACTATCTTGAAGACTCTACCACATATAATTGTATATTTTGGATCAATATAAAGTGCCTCCCACCCCTTACCAATATCTATTGTGAAATAACTTTACGGTATTGTATATTCACGCATATATTTAATCACTCATGAACACTTCATCTGTATCAACCTCAGAAGCTTTTCGTTGTATAACAGAAATATCAGTCGGAACAGCAACTGTTTTCTTATTGGTTTTTGAGCTATCTGCCTAAAAATTTTCATGGTTGAAACTGACATTCTTTTTAACTGGTAACAATTGAAATATTGACAGCAAACAAGGTATTTCATGGAGGTTATTTGTACAGCAGAAACGCTTACATATTCGAATTGTACTGTGTGTATATACATGTGGAATGTGTGTGATGCTTTGTTATTGTGATCTAGCTTCATTGTAAATAGTCTTAATAACAGATAACATGTTAATTAGCTAAAAGTGATTGATCAGATTATTCTGTGTATTAATGACACCATCAACCAACTCTTATCACATCTTACATTGCATAATGGTGACATGGTGGTTTTAGTTAGCTAAATCCTGTTTTTTTCTGAAAAGAAATATAACATGACATGTGAAAAGGAACTTCAATACTGAGAGCACATTTTCAACTAAAATAAAGAGTAGAAGTGTTTCTTTCTTGTGGCTCTTTCATTTAACATTACCTTTGTGTAGCTTGAAATTTATTTTAGGTTAGTGTAGATATTTAGGGTATTTATCACTCTGTGAGAGAATGAATGGGTTTGGTAAAAGAAGTTCTCTTTGATATTTAAAATTCACTGTCCTTTCAATTAAATTGAAAGCAAAAATAAATGGTGTTTCATTATACATTAAGATTTCTTTTTTATTGTAAATATAAAAAATTTTATTGCATTTTTATGGGAAAAAATTTGTACCTATTTAGAACAAACTAGAGCAGTTCTAGTAGAGATATGGACAGAATGAACTCAATTTGAAAAAGTTCTATCAACTGAAAAGCTTTGAATAAATAAAATTATAAAAATATTGTGTTATGTAACAAGAACCAAAGTGTAATTTTTGCTTACACAGTCAAACATTTCCGAATAATTTTATTGTTTCAAAGAGTAGCAGCCTGTTCTTACATTAAATATTTGTCAATTAGATCAGTACAGTCTCACTACAATCCTGAAAAACAAAGAAATAAGCATGCTTCAAACACTTCCTGAATAAAAATATAGTAGTAGAAAGATTGATGATGTAAAATGGAATTTGATGTTTACTTTGCTACAAATTTTTAACATACCAGATGATGTAAATTGATTAAAGTGATACTTATTTGAAGCTATTCTTTATTTGTACAGGTCTGTAGTAATGAAAGAAATATTTGAAGTTACCTGTGGTAATTATATATATAGATATCCTTTAAGCTTGCACGATAAAAACTCACCAGGAAAAAAAACGCTGACTGCTCCTGGAACTTTTCACAAACCCATGTAAAACAGGGTAGAAATTGGAAATTGATTAAGCCATCTTATCCCACCCATTTTGTATGGACTTTGGAAGCTATGTGAAAAACTTATATATATATATATTGTTGTGTTACAGGAAATGTCTTGTTTCCATGTGCAAGTACTTGTGAAAATTATATATTACCCTCTATATATATATATATCTTTGTAATGTATTATTTATATGATTATACAATTTATGTTCCATGCAAATAATAATAAAAAGGAAATCAACTTCTGATGTTGATTTCTTCATTTTACTATATTTTGTAGTTTACTGCCTTTTAATTGTCAATTGATCTTTTCATGCAAAGAAAAATTCTAGATACTTCAATGTTTTTTCTGAAAGCTGAACTGGCAAGAGATCATGGGTTTTATAAGTCGTTAAAATTCTGTGTATTGTGAATGAAATCAGTTTCAAGATATAAGAGGTTTAACTCGTGTTACTAGACAAGGTCAATAATTTATTGTGTATCACTTGACATGTCATAACAGGTATGTCTTACTGCCATTTTAGAAATAAAAACAGTAATGCAGTGCTTGAAGTTTGTTACCAAGACAGGTTGGACAATTTAAATGACTGTGGCTTCATTGAATCACACAGTGTTTTTTTTTAATTAATGAGGAAAATTTGACATATTCTATCCAATTTTACTTGAAGCAATTCAAAAGAAGCATAATGTTTTTTCGGAAAGGTCAACAAAAACATAATTGTCATAATGATAAACTGTATTCTTGGCTTTTATGACTGAACTTAGGTTTATCTCCCTTTACAAAATAAACTTTGTTAAAGGTGGACCGAGGATCAGCTTGAAAAATTTACTTATTAATTTCGTCGGTGATGAAACTGAAACATAGTTAGTCATTTTGGTATGGTTTTATGAGTAATAAATCTGATGTATTTCTTTTGTGTGTGATTTTATTTCCCTGAGAGACTAATGTTTTTTTGTCAGATGAATGTGTTGTGCTAAACATCTGAAGATCTGTTTCATCTACACATTTATACTGGGATCAGTTACCTTGAGTGGTTTTCAGAAGTAAAAGAATACATGTATAGCTTAAGAGGAATGTGGACATTTTAATCAACATATATGTATATTTCATGATTATTTCTTATAAGTATGTTTGAATACTTTCAGATATTTAAGATATTGCTTATTTGAACTTCTGTCTTTTTACCAGTTCATTTGATTAGGAATTTAGGCAGTGTTGTCATTGTGATACAGACTTCAGGTCTTGGTAAAGATTTCAATCACCTTTATGCAAGGAATAAATTCAGAAGCACATACTAAAAAATTTGATGGATTTTCTCTGGGGAAAACATCAAGGGAATTGTGATTGAATTAACTAACACTTCTCTGTAGTTCACTTTCAGCTTGTGGTTAATGATTCCATAGTAACCAAGCCAGAAAACTCTAATTTAGGGTACAAATTTATGTTTTCATTGATCTATAACTGTGTAGAAAGGTATGTAAATAGTTAATGCGGGGGAGGGGGGAACGTTATGTGAATGAGGTATACAGATCAATAAAACAAAAATGCAGTGAGTCAAGTCTTCAACTTTCAGTTGAGAGCTACCAGTACATTTGTCTAGTAAGCTCCTCAATGTTTCTTCAGAATTAGCTAGCAGAATGAAACCAGTATGTACTTTTTATGAAGTTATGCTCATTTTGTTTATTGTAAGTTATACTCCATACATTGCTGTATGTTTTTTTCATTTGATTTAACTGTACATTTTTATTCAGCATATTCTTTATTTAGAAAGTGAATGTTTGGCAAACTTGAAAAGTGAATTGTATGTACGCTGTGATTTAAGCGTAAAGACATTGGACTCTTATTAACCTCATGTAAATTTTTGTCAGTAAGGTATTTGTTGAAACTAGTTTGTACATTGATTGGATAATGACAGAAATGGCTACAATAACTACTTTAAAAATAAGTTTTTGAAAAACCCGTAAACTGACCTTGTGTATACTGTACACTGAGGACCATGGTTGTATTGGTGTGACTCATAGTCCACTGTACTTCATTCTTAGGAGGTCCATATTTTACATTAATCAGTTTTAAATCTGAAGTGCTTGTACAACAAACCATCACTCGTTATAAACACATTGTGATATCGGTATGTAAATACTGTAATAAATGAGAGGAAAGGAGCTCTTTTTTGTTTTTTATTTGGTCATCTGAGACAAAATTTCAGGGTGACCTATTACAATCCCCTTTTGTCTGTGTGTTGTTCATCTTAATCTTTCAACAATTTAGACATCTGGAAAAAAATCCAGATCCAATTTCAATGAAACTACCAAAATCTTCCAAAGCTAAAGGCACAACAAATTGTTAATTGTATGGTCCCCAAACCCCAGGGGCATGAGGAATGGGGCCGAAAAGGGTCAAAATGATTGAAACTTCAAAATTCTTCTTCTCAAGACTAGGTATGATAGAATCAAGTACTCTATATGTATGGCAAGGCCTTCAGATGCTTTACCAAAATTTTTAATTTCATGGTCCCAGGGTCTTAAATGTCCCCGAGGGGTGAAGGTAAAATTTGCTGTATTTTATATAGGAAAATCACATTTTTGCACATTATTTGTTTATTTTTTAATGGAAAACGTTCAAACCTGGTTAGAATTATTAGTTTAAGATAGCAGTTTTATGAGTTTCACATTGACCTCGACAGATCTCCAGGGGCAGTTGGATGAGACCAGATATGTGTCAAATTAACTGAAATTTTTAAAATCTTCAGATTCTTTACCAAAACTGTAAATTCCATGACCCCAGGGTGTCACATTTCCCTTAGGGGAAGAGATAACATTAGCTGTATTTCATATAGGAAAATTACATTTTTGAGCATAATTTGTTTTTTGTTTTTTATTTTTTTCAGAAATAGTTTTGATATTTTTTCATAAGTGTAAGCTGATAGTTTGATGAGAGGCACATATTGATATTGACTACCCCCTGAGGGATAGATGGGCGGGGTCAAAAATGGGTCAAATTGACTGAAATTTCAAAGATGTTCTACTGTTCCTGGATTGAAGGTTTTATATAGGAAAATCCTTGAGTGTAATTTCTTTCAATTCAAACTTGGTTAGAAGCCATAGTATGTGACAACAGTTAATGTATACACAATTTACATTTGCCTTATGTGTACAATATAGTTAAAGTTAAATTACTTTTTCAACAAAATCATTTCTATGACATGTTACAATAAGCATTGTGACCGTTAAGGCCCTTGGGCCTCTTATTTGTAGCTCAGCTGGCCGGCGTCAACTTTTTCCTTTAAACAACTTCTCAATAACAAATGTTTTGATATTTGGCTGGTATGTTCCTAGGATAAAGCCTGACAGATTGTGTGAAAAGAAATGACCTTGACTTATATTCAAGGTCGCCGGGGTCAAATTTGTTAAAACATTTAAAAACTTCTTCTCATGAACGTAAAGGCCTAGAGGAATGGTATTTGGCTGGTATGTTCCCAGAATGAAGCTTGACAAAATTTGCGAAAAGAAATGACCTTGAACAATATTCACCGTCACGGGTCAAATTTTTTAAATCTTTAAACAACTCCTTCTCATGAACTAAAAGGTCTAGAAGTATGATATTTGGCTGGTATATATATACCAGGTGAGTTCTGCAGACCCATTCAGCATCTCAGGGTTTTTTTTTTTTTTTGTCAGAGTATGAAATCAGTGATCATTGCCCTGATTATTGTATACTTGATGTGCTACACTTTAGCTGATTACCCCTCCAAATACTACATGCGATATATAGAAGGGAATCAGCAAGTGAAAGGTGGAACATCACTGTCATTCCACAGGCAAATATGCTATAGACTATTATTTGATATCTGATGAACTTTCAACTATTGTATCGGATACAGATATATTACCAGGGTACAAAACAGATCATTCTTGTATTATATTAAAATGTATAAAAGAAGATAACAATAGTGGGAAAGGGTACTGGAAACTAAATTCTGCTTTACTTCGAGATAAAAAATATGTGGAATTAGTAAGTAATTGTATAAAGGACACAGTAGAAGAATTTATAGTATCAGGAGATTTTAATGACTTGGAAAATATTACTCTTAGAATTAATGATCAATAGTTTTTAGAAATTATTAAAATGAAAATTAGAAGTCTCTCTATTGAATACTCAATCAGATGCTCAAAGGAAAAGAAGAAAAAAGAGAAAGATATTGAAACTAGAATATCAAAGTTGGAAGATGAAGTTAATGAAAATGTAAATGATGAAGTATTAGAGGAACTAGAAAAGGTTAAAAAAGAGTTAGAAAATACAAAAAAACAGAAAATAGATGGTGTAATTCTCAGATCCCGGGCAAAATGGTATGAAATGGGGGAAAAAAGTACAGAATATTTTTGTAGATTACAAAAAAAAGAAATTATGTGAATAAAACTATAATAGAATTGATAACAAATAACGATAATCTTATAACAGATAATAAACAAATTTTGGAAGAAGAAAAATTATACTATAAAAACCTCTTCACATCTAAAGAAAATTGTAATATAAATTCTTCAATGTTTAATCATGGTGTAACATTAACAGAGACAGATAAAAATAGTTGTGAAGGTAAAATTACGGTACAAGAATGTAGTAAGGCTCTAATAAATATGAAGAACGGGAAAAGTCCGGTATCTGATGGACTAACAGCTGAATTTTATAAAATGTTTTGGAAAGACCTACAATACTTTGTTCGAAACTCAATAAATTTTGCATATAAACATGGGACTTTATCAGATTTTCAATGCCAAGGCATAATTACATGTATTCCCAAAGAATCAAAAGACAGACGTTATCTTAAAAACTGGAGGCCTCTAACATTGCTTAATATTGATTATAAAATTGCTTCTGCTTCAATTGCAAATAGAATAAAACAGGTGCTTCCAAACATAATTAGCAATACACAAAAAGGTTTTATGAAAGGAAGGTTTATTGGGGAAAATACGTGATTAGTTTTTGACTTGATGCATTACTTATAAAAATAACAGGTCTGGGATATTATTATTAGTAGATTTCGAGAAAGCATTTGACTCAGTTGAATGGAAATTTATATATAGAACATTGCAGTCTTTTAATTTTGGTGAATCTCTTATTCAATGGATCAAAACATTTCATCATAATACTAAAAGTAGGATGATTAATAATGGGCATTTTTCAGATTTTTTTAATATACAGAGGGGTTGTCGTCAAGGTGACCCTGTTTCACCATACTTGTTTATAATTGGAGTCGAAATATTAGGTTTAGCTCTCAAGAAAAACAATGGAATCAAGGGTATAAAAATAGAAGACAAAGAATGTTTACTAGGGCAATATGCGGATGATGCTTTTCTGTTTCTGGATGGTTCTGAAAACTCACTTTCAAATACAATTAAAACCTTTCAATATTTCACCTTGGTGTCTGGCCTTAGACTTAATATACACAAATGTAAGGTCATGTGGATTGGAAGGAATAAATATTCAGATAGGATCTTATGCCCCGAGCTTAACCTTCAATGGTCAACTGATAAATTTAAACTTTTGGGAATAAACTTTTCATTCGAATTGTCTGAAATTACTGAAATCAATTTTAAGGATAAGCTAACTAACATTAAAAAACTATTAGGTATGTGGTCGAGATGTAAACTTTCACTTATTGGAAAAATCACAATAGTCAAAACACTTGCATTACCCATATTAACACATTTATTTTACTCTTTACCTAACCCAGGAAAAAAATGGCTTCAAGAATTTAATTCTGTTTTTTATAAATTCATATGGGGGTACAAACCTGATAGGATTAAAAGAAACACTTTGATACTTGATTATGATGAAGGTGGCTTGAAAATGATACACATAGAAAACTTTATTAAATACTTAAAGGTAAAATGGTTAAAAAGATTATACACAGGTGATGGCCAATGGCAAACTTTGACTAAAACCTTACTTAGTCAATTTGGTAACGAGAGAATTTGGAATTTTAACAATGTAACTTTAAACGAAATAAGTAAAAAAATATCAAATCCTTTTTGGAAAGATACACTTTTAGCATGGATAGATTTTAAAAAATCCCAAGATAAACCTATAGACTTATTACATGAAGATATATTAAACTATGTTCCATTTCAAGATTTCAAACAATTTATAGCATTCCAACAATCTGGGGTTGAAAAGATTAAAGACCTGTTAGATAATAGATTTTATTTTCTAAATTTTGAAAATATTAAAGTTAAATGTCCTACTATGAACTTTATTCAATACTTTGCTCTGACAAGTAAAATTTCCAAAAATAAATTACATGAGTTACGACAAAATAGAGATATAATTACTCCTAATGATGAAGCAAATTTATCTGATTTTCAGAAAAAAAATGGTTCAAAATGACTTGAAATTTGTATATAAATCCTTACTGAACAAACATAAAATAGATCCTGTAGGAAAACAAGCCAAATGGAATAGAGATTTAAATGTGAACATAGAAACTAAGATAGGTTGGAGTAAAATATATACATTACCAAAATACTGTACAATAGAAACAAAAATGCAAAATTTTCAATTTAAACTACTACACAGAATTTTGACTACTAAGGAGTTTTTATATAAAATCAAAATTACTGGTGATGATAAATGTACATTTTGTAAAAATGAAACTGAAACACTAATACATTTGTTTTTCAATTGTGTAATTGTTAAAAGAATTTGGAATGAATTTAAGGTATGGATAAATTCAGTAAGTGATAATTTTGAAATTGATTTTTTTGATGCTTATGACATACTCTTCATTTGTGAAAAGGGCCCAAAAGTTATAAATCGTCTGATCCTAACCACGAAATATTACATTTATATCTGCCGATACAAAGAAATTCAACCAACATTTACAGAATGTAAAACTCTCATTTATCAACAAAATGAAACTGAAAAATTTATTTCAAAAATTAATAATTCATTTGAAAAATATCTAGCAAAATGGTCTCCCCTGAACATTTAAAGGGACAAAACTACATCCTACACAGCATAGTGACAGCCTTACTTTCTCAATCAGGTAGTGATTTATATATATATATATATGTTATCGTATTAATGTCAAGATTATTGGTATATCAATGTTAAAAATTGTTTTGTATTGTTACTGTATATGTAAAGTATGTCCATGTTTTGTATGTATTGTATATGTCATTGTCTTTTGTTAATAAAAGTTTTGAAAAAAAAAAAATATATATGCTATAGGTTTTCAAGTGAAGAAAAGCACATAAAAATGAGTTAAGAGATTATCACTGCCCATTGCATAATATCACTCTCCATCTCATGTTTAAAAAAACCGAGATGACAGAGATTGACCAGGAAAGTGCATTAAAGCTAGAAAACCCTTTGTTTGTGTGTTTCGTCCCTTGCATCCTCCTATGTGAACTCATGTAGTTGTATCTTGCTGTAAAAAAGACATCGTACAATGTACTTTTGCTCAGGAATGATATCATCTTGTCTTACATAATTTGATAAGCCTTGCACATATTAGGATAACTTCTATACTCATTAAATAAAGGTAAATATAGCATTACATTAAATCAGTTTTAAGGGAACTCATCCAGCGTTTAGATGTCATCAACATGTATGCTTTTGAAAGTGAAAGATTAATTGTAACATTAATTTGTTGCTTGTGAAGAACATGCTATGTCAAAGGAAAGTTTTGATACTATAGATCGAATCTAAACAAGTATTAAGCTAGATGTTTAGATGACAAGAAAGACTTATTTTGTAAGCATAATAGAACAATTACTGTATTATATTAAATCTAGGTTATTTGTAACTATTCAGTTTCAAACTAGTTTTATTTCAAATGAGAATCACCTGAGTTACTGCTTATGATACTCATTAAACTAAACTTCATCTTTCAATTCAAGTTCCCTAACTGTGTACAGCCTAGACCAATCCCTTTACAGGACTGATTTAAAATCCTGTGTCATTTTAGTATTTTTTTTTTTTTTAAATGGAATAGACCTGATATCAGCTGCTGAAATTTAGTGAAAATAATCCTGCACAGTACCAGTTGTATTGGCGAGTCATTATAGTGCCAAGATCTTGGCAAGTTGTGGTATAATACACTTAAATATTGAGGTCTGTCATTACAATACTAGGATGCTGGGATACCTATAATTCTCAAATCAGTCCCAGAATAAAATGATGGTTCAAGTCCCACAACATACATTTACAGATTTATAGCCCTTTGTTCAGTGTGTCAATTTACTTGGCACATATTTTGTACACATTTAACTTATCAACAACAGTTGCCTGTAAATGAATTCCTCTTAAGAGTGTATATATATATATACTGTGATGGAGACATTTGCCTCAGTACAAATTGATTTTGTTTGGGTTTTTTTTTTATTATTCTGCTGTAGGTTAGGGATGGTTTACAAATATTGAAACAATGTTCCAACTTGTTAGGATTCTCGTACCTTACATGAACTTTGATGGCAATCAGTATGTTTATCATATCTAAATATTTAGAAAAGAGATCCAAATGTCAGTAAATCCCTTAGTACTAATGACTAAAATAGAGGTCTGGAAGTAAGCTTAGAAATCTACAGAATTATCACACACTGGTATTGCCAATATCTTTAAATTAACAATTTTGGAGTGCAATTTAGTGCATCTAAGGACTATATATATTACTTATCATTTTAGAATTTCTGAAATATAACTAAAAATTTGAATCAGTTTTAAAGCATGCAACGATTTACAGAGTTAGCTGTAGGATTCCTTTCTCTGATGTACAGTGATGGCAGGTGTAGAGCAACAATGACAATTTCCAAGCACAATCAGCAATTGTTTAATCTTCAGTCTAAAATATTTCATTTTCAATGGGATATACCTGTAATAGTTGTATATTTTTGTCATTTTTTGAATATGCAACAATGGATATTAGTTAAGGAAGGATCTACACAAAAATCAACATAAAACAGACTACGGATGTCAACATCTGTCAAAATTGTTGAGACCATCAGTCCATTATAAGACACTTGTACTTCTATATATATAACTGAGAACCAATGAAAACACAACACAATCAAGGCCTATCAAGCATTTTATTTAGCACTCTCAATAGTCGGACAAGGTGTGCAACAAAAAAAGTTTGCAGTGCAATGGTATAGTGCAGATGAACTTATTACAGAGGCAAGTGAAAAGAGGCTGAAAGGCCTGAGGAGTCAACCATTGATACTACTGGACTATTAAGTTCTAAACTCTTAACTGCACACTCAAGCTTTCTCTAAATTTACATTTTAATCATTTAAATGAAGGAACAATTAATTTTGAGTACTTAGTTTTAAAGTTTTCACTAATTTAAGAAAATACCAACTGCGAATAGAGCAGTTTTTTTTAATTACGCTGTTGACTTGTAGTTGTGTACTATGGTAAAAAAATAATATGTAAGAAGACTCTCACTATAATGTATTGAAATAAAATACTAACAAATAAACATCACAGGTTGATATATATATTTTTTGATCATTTAGGCCAGTATCCTTGGCAGCAAATTGGTGACATGCTATCACAATCTACTATTAATCCTCAGTAGAATATTGAGTAGTTTTTAGGGGTCGCTACCTGCAAGGAATGTTTTACCAAGAATTTATTACATTCTTTTGAAAACTGATCAAGTAAATAAAGGGTTGAAAAAACGAATGCATAGGATTCTTAGCAGCTTATAACAACTCAACAATAAAAACACTAACAAACGTTATCACAGCTGGACAGCAGGTCATAATGTATATAATACACAATGTAAATGATAATCATGTATAAATATAGTATTTACATGGAAACAGAACAATATATAATACTTGTTTTTTTACAGTAACAACAAGCAATTAACAAATACTTTGTATTGTATAATATAATTTGCAAACAATGAATAAAATGCCAGTAATATAGAAATGTTGTTTCGATACTGTATTATGCATATAATGCATAAAATCCAAAAAAATACTGGTTGAGCAATATCTGGAATGTCCATGTAAACTTATCAGCTTATTTTTGCTTCAATAATCAAATGTATACAGGTTGAAAAACAATCCCTGATATTATTGTTTATTTTTCTAATACTTATGTTAATACTTCTACACACTGGTTCATTGTTAAATACTGATTATAATCAGATCTGATTCTTCACAGGGTCATGACTGCTCAAGTACTGCAGCATATATATAATACTGATAACATGTAACAATAGATGATAACTACTGTAATCATATGTAATACTGAACTAGTCTGGGCAGCGACAAACGATCACAATTCTCATTTGACAGAGATAAATAAAGTGCAGCACTAAAGCTGGATTAAATACCAAGATTATACAAAGAGTTTTAATTTTTACTTCAGGAAAAAAACATTTTGTATGATGGAAGGGAAAAAAATCCTGTAAATTAACAAGATATTTTAAAAGTAACTTGAGTATGTCACATGATACATATGTACTATAATTATGTTATGATGTACACAAATAGATATACCGATTTCAAAAGGTGTGCAAGAAAGTTACTTATGCTTGCTGTTATTCATCAGCAGAATTGTTTCAGAAAAATACATGATGCATATTATAATTAGTGTGTAAACATGCAAGCTTCCACATAAATGGAAGTCAGACAATATCAATACACTTTGCAATCTTGCATGTTTTTTGTAGTTTTAAAAATAATTTATTTTCACTAAGAATACAACATATACCAAGTCTATTGGCATACCCATAACAAAACACGAACAATATATCAAATGTTTTAATACTTAATAACAGAAGGTCAAGGTTTTAAGTCATCCACTAAATTATCAAACAGAATTGTAAATCATTCAATCCAGTTCTTATCAACAGCCAAAAAAATTCTACAATTTTTTTTTTCCATTTTCTACAACTAGATTTGTAAATCTCATTTTCTCTCCCTCACACTCACACCAACATTCAGCATCATTCCTGGAGAACAGTTTGAACACAAAACACACAAAAAAGTTGTAGAATATTTCTGGCAATTATTCATTTATGAATAAAAAAAAGGTATTGTTTGAAGCTGTTGGTAACAGACTAGATAAACTGTAAGAATGGTGTGGTTTCTATCCTGATGATATCATCCTATCGTGGACACCTTGAACCTGTTTAATACTCAATGTTCACAGCAAACATGCAGTATATGGAATTAGAATGCAGCTCCTAAGGTCCATCTGTGATCACCTCTCCTGCGTCGGAGTCGTATGATGCTGGCGTCTACAGATGATGCAGCACCTTTGCTCTTGATGTCCTCACGGAGTTTGATATTAGCCAAATTGAGCAATCCTATGTTCCTACTGGTAGCTGTCAGTGACTGGAGCAAACCACCGCCATTCTAGACAACACAAACAGAACACAAGAGGTTAGCTTGTTGTACCCACTAATTGAACTACACTGACAAATAGAAATTTTAAACCAGATTTTGCATTCTATAAAATCACTAATTTTCCTGTAGGATTTATTATCAGTGACTGTGAGGGTACCCAATACTATTAATCCAGAAATTCATATTAGAGAACTGTTAAATTTTGTATTAGTAGTTGTCAGGAATAATTTTCAGCCACGAATTATCTGATAAGAAAACAATTTCAGCCCCACTATAATTTATGATTTCATAGAACATTTTGTTTATTTTGCATTACCAGGTAGACAGAGCATGAACCATTTTATTTCAATCATTATGTAATATATCATTTATGTATACCTTCTATGATATATATGCACATTAAACACATTCAGATATTCTGTCACAGTTTTACATTTCCTGTCCTCATAGGAAAATATGAATGCCTTAATTTTATTCAAATGTTTCTCAGTAAAATTTCTTGTTTGATGAGCTTGGTGTACAGGTGTGTGTGTCCCTTACCTTGATGACCTCCTGAGCCTCTGGCAGTTGTGTGCCAGGATGTCGTTGGAACACCCTCACAAGTGGGCGGTCAAGTCTCTCTCTGGTGGTCAAATCAGCACTGGTCACTGGTCCCTGAAGATGCAGACAGTGATCAGTGATACATGTGATGTCATAAATGACTGATAATTGTCTAGTGACTATTTAAATAAGTGTGTCTAATACCAATTAAATCAGTGACAAAGCCACACTGTTTCTAGCTACATGATGAGTCTGCTTACTATCAACATTTTTATATTGTTCATTATTTTGACAATGTCTATGTTGTCTGTACATATACTGAGTTCATCAACTTCATCAGTGACTATTTGGAGAGTAATCTTTATCAACAATACTTACCAGTGTGTAGCTCCTGACCTTTTCTGAGAGACACCCCTATATGTACCAGTGTATAGCTCCTGACCTGTTCTGTGAGACACCCCTATACTTACCAGTGTATAGCTCCTGACCTGTTCTGTGAGACACCAATATACTTACCAGTGTGTATCCCCTGGCCTTCTCTGTAGCATCATACCAGCGCTGAGCCCTGTGGATTCCATGTCTGTTCTCTCCAAGAGTAACTCCCAGATGTTGCTATGTGAAAAACATGGTGTTAATGGTCAATATTGTATTTACATGCAAAATGACATCAGTTATTATTATAGGCAGTATAAAATACAGATGTAAAAATCCTCTAGTTGTCACAAGTAAGCTCTATAGCAGTAATAGTAACTAGTTACGAGGACGCGACCATATATAGACCATGCTCCAACTTACTGTCTGGAAACTAAGGTTTATCAATACTCCAAGTGCCTTAAATCCTGTGAAAGACTCCCACATTCTAACAACATGTTAAACAAGACTCAGACTGCCTAAAGACGTATTATCATAACTCCAACTATGTAGAAACTTACTGAAAAGGCACCAACTGTCTAGAAACTTGTTATCAAGACATCAATTGTCTAGAAACTTGTTGAGATAAAAATGCTCAAATTCTGGTACAATTACAATGATAAGATTTTCAACACCTTTCCACCAAGAACAATGTAATGGAGAAGCTAAATCTGAAACCCATCAGTCAATAAATGGAAAGAAGATGAAAATGGCCAAGAGAAGATGAAAATAGCAATTAAGTACACCTGGAAAATCTATTAATTCTTTTGTAAATGTAACGTGATATGCATGGTCAAGTTTTGGTTCACTTAACATTATCATTTTTTAAGGGAAAAAATCATTTTAATGATAATTTTTTCTGACAACAAAACAGATTTTGGGTTGTTTTATAGGTTCAACCGACATTCCATTACCAATACAGACATCAACATCTAGTTAATATAAATGACATTTTTCTTTTGTAATACAAATTTGCTGAATCAGGCATTATTCTACAGTGACACAGCATGCATTGCAACACCTACTTTCAGTGTGATGGTCTCAGAGAGTTTCTGTGTGATGCCATCATTGACAGACTTGTGAGCAGCTTCCTTTAGTTTCTCGGTTCTTTCAATTGCTTCCTTCAGCTCTTTCCTAAGGTAGCCACTCCTGGACCTTGCCTCTTCAGCATCCAACAGGGCCTGATCAGCCTCAGGTGTGAAGGGCCCTAGAGGGTCAGCCTGGGTTGTGGCCAGAGCCAGACGAGACAGACGTCCATCCAAGGAAGTTTTACTACGGTGGAGGCCCCCTGGACCTGCCATACTGACTGAGGTGTTACTGATGGAGGACAGGGCATGGTTCAGTAGGTCCAGCACACGTGAACGCTCCTGTAGAGTGGCAAAGAGGCGACGACGAGCAGCATCTAGTACCTATAAATAATGTAGCTTAATTGTCAGTACTTCTATACATCAAAGTTTACTGTAGGTAAGTATGGAAAATACAAATACATGTACATAGTTTTACATAACATCAATACAATGTTATTGTCTGTACAAACTTTGATACATTAACCAAGTTTTGAAAGAAATATGAAAATAACACAAAAACCAACCATGATATTGTTTAGATTCAAAATATGTATGAAATCAATTTAGTATTTAGTTTTTGTTGACTACTTACAGTAAAATTTCAGTCTGCCTTCAAACAAAGAGTCAGTTGATAAAGTGGAATATCAGTTGTTGACTTATAAAATATACAGAAAAATAAAAACCTTCTGTTACTATAAACATTATTTCGAAGTATTTGGGAATTCAATAAGGCCACCAGTATCTACAGGAGTACTCTATAAAGAGACGTTATTCTGGATTAGGATTAATTAACTACCAGAGTACATGTTTCAGCTCGCAGACAACCCTTACCTGAAGTTGTTGTTGAACAGATTTCAGCTGTGCCTCTAGTGCCTTTTTACAGTTTAAAAGATGAGCTCGCTCAGCATTGAGCAAATCATCAGCCCCATCATGTTCCTGATAAAACAAAATTTAACCATTTGTGTGAATTGAATTTACATGTACATATCAATCAGACAAATGATAATTGTATAACAATTTTTTTTTTTTAACATGGTGGTAAATTTGCTGTTTACAAAACATAAACAATCTCATTTTACACAGCAAGGTAAATAGGTCATAAATACATTTGTATATAAAACTACCAATGATATGACATTAAAGAGAAAAATGCTGCCTTTGTTTTCATGTTATAATTGTATAATAATCTGTAGTACAGAACCTCAAGCATAACACATGATAACTGTACATTATCCACACTAGGGACATATCATGATGGCATCATGTAAACATGTACTGGACTTCAACGATAATTTTCCTGACAGTGATGAGACAATTTTAACAAGCTTTGATGGTCATCAACCAATAAACATAGAGAACAAGGATTCAAAATAAAAAGGCAATTGTTGTCCATTTGAAAATTCTTTGATTATTTAGCTCCATCAGAAACTATACACTGAAGCAATAGATTATGAAACGCTGTTTATGGTTGCACCATTTACTTAGAGATTGGTTTTCAACGTTTCTGTCTCAAGACTCCTACTACAGAAAATAAGAATAACTCAAACGGATAATAATGATAGTCACCAGAATGTCATGCTACCATACATTGTATTTCATCAACACCATCAATGGACCCTCCTTACCACAGAATGACAATAAAGGTTTGTTTGATATAACAGAGGCAAAGATAATACCTGTAATATGGTAGTATATATGTATATTTATATACAGACTATACACAAAATTTGTGTTGTTATTTCTACATGGTGCCATAGAAAAGTGAACAAGCGTTAAAATGTTGCCAGATTTCCAGTGTTGAGAACAATGGCTGTACCTCTGTTGTATTGAAATAGGTTTACTTGTTAAACACCTTAATCCATATATACCTGTAGTGTGCTATGAGCTGTATGCTAGGCTTGGTCTGTATTTAATAACACATACTTTTGACCTAGGTGTTTGGGGTGTGTAACCATGAATGGTTGCTATTGTTCATTAAGTATTTGTATTATAACCAGGCACAGTTCTCCAGACACACTCATGTAGACTGACAACCTTACTCAACAGAAAAGTCACACCAATCAAATATATAAAATCTCAATACATATATTCTAGACAAAATAGAGTTCCATTTTGTGCTGTATATATGGTGACCTTAGTATATATATTATTATACTGACAATTAATGATCAAACATTTTGGTAAGTTCCTAAAATAACTCACTATTGCATGTGACAATATTGATAAAGTCTACGAGTAATTTTGTCATTACAATAAGTCATTGTCATAATTCCATTGTTTTCTGTTAATATTTAGTTATAGGGACAAGTTAAGGCTTGATTTAATCACACATTATGATTCTCTTGTGATATGACATATAAATTAATACAAATTTGACTTGATGTTTGATATAAGATATTTGATCTCACCATAGGTCGCCTTAGAGCCTTGTCATAGTAGTAAATATATGATGACCCCTTACACATTTAAGTACAATATAACATAATACATAGATGTTGAAATGTATACATATAGCTAATATTACTGGCATTAAGATGCTACATTTATGCAAAATAATTAAAAGAATTTTAAATGGATTTTTAAAAGTAAACATAAAACAGCCTTGATCTTTTAAAACAGCAAAATTGTTTTTACATGTGATTGTTCACCAAAATTACACAACTGTATAAATACATTTAACATATTAACGACTCAACTGTCATGAAGTTGTATTATAATACTGTATATTACAGTAAAATTTAAAATACTAAAACTAAGAACTAGTTAGTAGAATATCATACTAGGCTTAAATGCAATTCCCACTTTGATGGAAAAAGCTCAATGTATCAGAATTTTTTGTTTCTCAAAATTTATGAAGCAGTGGTTTATTGATATAGAAATTGACCACATTATAAAGTTTGTACGAGAATATAACTGACAGATCATGAAGATTAAGGGCTTACCATAATTAAAATGTCTTAATTTAATGCCATTTTGGTGCAACCTCATGAAAGTGTAGGGCATACATTTAAAAATAATCTTTTTTTATTAAAATTTTTTTGATGCAAGTGGCATATCACATTACACCAGCAAAACAAAAGTCCACTATGAAGTTTTGCTCCAATAAAAATGTTCTTGCAAGATAGTTTTAGAATTAATTGCTATATCAGGATTCACACACCAACATGTAAAGGCTGACACAGCAAGTAAATTAAAATACCATAATGTCTCAGCCAATATTGCTGAAGACAATGTCATAACCACTATGAAAGGATGGATATATCTAGTTTAAATTTTGCTTATAGACATACTTATATAAAAGAAAAAAAATCATACAGAATCTATTAATTCTCAAAGTTTGTGTCATCATTATAATTAACAATAATTTGTAATTGGAAAAGTAATTGTCCTAATACAGGTAGCTACCAGAACTAATCAATACATTTGAATTATTCATACCAACCCATACTGTTGGTGGTAATGGCAGCCTAATTATATTTGATTAGTGGATTCTGACAGGTACAGTCTGATATCATAGCTGATCTACATGAACGTGAAGCAAGATTTTTCACCAAGATTTTTGAGAATCAAGAAAAGAGATGGTTTTATGGGATGTGTAGCTTTTGATAAACCAAACCTTAGTATCATAAAGAATGTGTGATTGAATGATGTTGGACTCTCAATACAACAAACAAACTGCTAAAATGTTGACCCAAAGGCTGTCCTCTGTTCGGAACAAGAACATAGTATGTAAATTTATGGTTTTGACATGTTTCCCTCCAGTGACCTGGAAATGGGTCAAGGTCATGTATTTGAACAAGCTCAATGATCCAATTATAAAAAGAGGCCTCTTAGCTATTTAGATTTCAAACATTATATTAAACATATGGCCACAGATTGATTATAAATCTATATTATATTAAAATTGTGTTTCTATTTCTAAATTTTATGAAGTTTATAATCACAATTCCTTTGTCTGGTTTGTGATGTTTTTGAACATATATATGTATCAGATATTCATCACCAGAAATGGTACATGTCCAAGTACCAGGAAAGGGATGCAGTACATCCTATTAGTCTGTAATCCTGCCACTCTCTGATATTGTCTTTGTTTTGATCAAATCATGTATCATTAAGACACTCTTCGGGCCACCGGTATAGCAGTGTGGTTCTAGCTTCACTTACTGGAGCCAAGTTGTGGTAAAAAAACTAATTGGTAAGTATATAGGGGAATAGGTTTAATAATTAATTGTAAGGACGCCTCATCACATAGAGGTATAGCTGCCACATCTGATGATTTGTTTACATTGGTTACAACCAGTCAATCGTTACCAAGTGATGTAGCTGTGTATCCACGGGTAATGATGCTGTATGTACTTTTTACTTCCGTCACAGAAACACTAACTAAGTCTTGTTCATTTCTGTTCGTTTTCTTTGGTTTAATAACTGGTTGGTACCTATATCAACCTGGACTTTGGTATCTATACAGACAATAATTTACTTGTTATCATTGATATACAGGAGGGGGATTTAAATAAACACAAAACAGGGAATTCAGCCAAGTTTGATTTTCAGTTCATCACAACATATTGGTGCGGTCCTCAGAGACATTTGAACATGGTGACCACCAAGCAATGATGGAATGTAATGTTATAGTGAAACACATTTTTATCAAGATAATAATAATTATCATCTAGACTAAAGAGTATTTAAAATACTCTCTTGTCTTCATGAAGTTTTATTAAGTAAAGCAGTACTGTTATAAATAATTAATTAATTATCATCAAAGGTGGTCTTAGGTGTCTAAACCTAGAAAACTACAAGTCCTTGTGGTCACAATTTGAAATAACATGTCATTTCTAACAGACAGTGGGAAATTATTCATACCTGTTCGAATCATCTATGAAAAAAAAATCAACACATGCAAACAGTTAGCAGTCATTAAGTATTGAAGTGGATATTGAAATCTACATATGATGCAGCAGGCAGGCTGGTGAAATTGATCACTTAGCTACAAACGTTATGCAAAATCTATTGAAATTTGCAGCATAACTTCCTAAATGACTGCATGGCACATAAAACATGAAAATGTAATGGAGTATTTTTTTATTCTTTAATTTCTGTTCCCTTGATTTATAATGTAGTTTTCATAGCAGCTCCACCATGATATAGAGGAAATTATGTCCATTGTGGGCTTGATCAATACACTTCAAAGTGAAGTCATAACTTGTAACTCACTATTACTATGGAATATATATGATGGAGGTATTGCAATGTGATTTCCATGTTTGTTGTATGCATATGTAGACTTGCAATTATGATACTAAATGTTTGTAAATCAATTGCTGATATATTATAATATCTTACCCTGCATAAAGTAATTGTAAGAAAACCAACTTATTTTTCTTTCTTCTTTTTTTCTCTATTTGTTATCATGATTGATATATACAGGCATTACAATTCAAAATTATCTCCCTTTGACCAAGAAGTTCCCAATTTAAAATTCATATACATTTGATAATGATTTCAAAGTTTTCTTGATCATAGAATAGCAAATATATATCCATGTCCTTCATTATAATCAACCTGAATAGCAAATATTCCCCTTGATTTATAATACACAAATCCATTCTTGGATACAATTTGGTCTTGAATTATTTACACACAAACTTGCTCTGCGTAAGCTCTTCTATAGTTACCATGGAGTGTTTTAAGCTACAGTGGGTATGGTCTCTGCTCTACAATAAATGGTTAACAGTACCTGACAGACGTCAATAAATCTACCTAATTCAATTTTAATCATTTATACTAGTGATCTGTTCCACCTGCATTGATCCCTATACTGTAAATGGCCGTACACACTTAGCTATGCCATATAACTAAAATTCCTAGCATACAATAGCTTTCAAACAAATGACTAAATCTGGTATTATAATAAAACATAATTTTTGATGATTATAAGGAAAACTTAATAATTTTTTTCTTTTCTTGTAATCAGGCCATATGCTAATAGAAAAGTATTTTATTCACATATAAAATTGGCCAATTAGTCTTCATGTATTCTCTAATGTGTGGAACTTTTGGTGACTTTGGTATTAGTTTTAATTACCTTACAATTGCAAAACAATATTTAGCAATTAATTTGTGTGTGTTTATTTACATGTCTGGCCAGGTAAATACATTAAGATTTATTGTACAACAGTAACAATAAGCATTCACAATTTTTTGAACAATGACACAAGATTCACTAGCATATCCATGATGTTAAGGACTGGATATATAGAGATTAGCATTTGATTATCTTTATCAATTTATTTCCTTTGCAGCTTTGTAAGATTTCTCTTTCATTGTAACTTAAGAAAGAGAGTAAAATAAACGGTACCCATGCATGTGTAGAGAAACTGATTAATTTGATGGTACCTATTTGACCAATGAAAGTAAAACTGCACCCCTTTCCAATGTCTGCATTTATTACTAATATTATTATGGAAACAATATGATATGGCAATCTCTAGAACAAACATTGATTTTCCAATTAATGAATTTGGAACATATTTATAATACAATAAAATATATACAAAGTAGCTTCATTACATAATTAGCTCCATTATGTATTTTTTCTTTACAATAATATACCACAGTAAAAAGAAATTTGGATGTTTGTATATATCTTATAAATAAAATTAATTTAAAACTGTTTACCTTTACTGTGAAATCAAGATTTTCTAATCTATATACCAAAAGCTGAACAAAGGACTGCATCCTTTCTTTGACTATGATAATTTATTTTTCATTAAACTGGTAATGGATTTTTCACAAATACAGTTCCAAATGGACCTATTAATATTTGTTATAGTTTGTGTTACAAAAGGTGACAAAAGTACAATGGAACAGTTGTAATTGTTTACACTTAAAAACCTTTACCCTTCAATTAACGGTGAATACAATATTAAATAAAGGCTTTGAAAGTTTCATATGGCTGGGTCCACTGGTAAAGGGGTTTGTTACAGGTACAAAGTCTGACCGTATAAATATTATATATATATGAACATGAAAATGATTCATTACATGCAGATCAATAGAACTACTGTAACATTCAAACATCAGGGTTGTGATTAATTTGTGAATGGGTCAATGAAACCTACTTCGCTCCAAATTTATACACACTTAAATGGCTTCTGCATGAGGATGCTGATTGTCACCTAAAAACTAACTAATGATATTTACTTGTACCAATCATGGCAACCCAACTTTTACATATAATTTTGTATAACTTTGGCTTGGTTGTCTTCATGAAGGAATCAAAGATGGATACATAACATTCAATAGAGCCCCATCAAGGAAGGGAACATTTGTCACTTGTATTGACGACACATGTTTGCACCAGAAAGTCAGGTTATACTGTCTCTCAATCAAACACAAAATTACATTACCTTGTCCAGCAACTGAGTGACATTATCAATCAAGGGCCTATTACATATTGGTAACACTGAACTTAAGGCTCACCTTTGTAAGAACAACATTTTATTTTGAAGACTGAATTTAACATCATTAGGTATAAACCAACAGGAAATTAATTAGTAGCTTTTAACAGGGTTTATATTTTCATTTTATCTTGAATTTGGAAAGAAACTTCTACATCATACTGCAGAAGTCAAGTGTACAATTTCTTATTATGGTACAACATGTCAAACTGACCCATATACAGTAAATTTCAGGAAATATTTGTAACTGATTGTAAATATGAATGGTACTAGTGAGTCCTAAGATAGCTTATGATAACGAACACATTCATATACCATGTCTTCTTTAATGGCTGTTTTCCCAAGTTCTTACACAATATTGGGTTTCTTTTTCTTTGTGATATCAATGATCATTTCACTTTAAAACTTAAGGCTTTTATAAAGAATGAGGCTGAGTTGCTCCTGGTTGCAAAGATAGACTGCCAAAATACCCATTTTTTTTAATGAGTTACCAAAATGGTAGCAGTATTGTGGAAACATTCTTTGGAATGCTATATTCCCAAGTCCAAGTAATATTAAAAATCATCAGTCTATATTGCAAAGTTATACAACAGACTCTTCCAAGGTAAATTTTGAAATATTATTGACCCTTTCTTGCTAGGAGCAAAAAAATGTTTTTAGTTTTTGCTGGTCTCTGGTTTCAGGGATGCTGGTTCAAATCCCCACAAAAGCCAGAAAATCTCAGCAGAAAACAACAAAACCAAGCTGGCAGGATTTCGAATCCAGAACCTAACTCCAAACGAGTATCATTTTAAGTAAACAGTAAGCCTGATAAAATATTATCTAGTTTCCTCCATTAACACAAGATATTAGACACTTTGGCAGACAGATGACCAAACTAGATATAATGTCAAAATAAGCTGAGGAAAATATGGTGCTAACTCTGGTATACATTTGCATGTAATAGACAATGTTTTGACACAATAAAATGATTTTTTTTAACCTAGCGACAAGCATATCTGACAAAAGCAAGGTTACTTCTTTGAATTGAATGTTAGTCAGCTGTCAGACAGCTCTCAATGGAATTAGCATACATAAGCTACAGTATAAACTGTAAAGCAGACCTATGAACAATAAATGGACAGATGCATATTCTAATGTAACATTAAGCAGCAGCACAGTTCATCAACATACCCTTTCCTTTGAAGGTCTGGATACTCTAATATCTTGACTGTCTTTGTTCAATCTGATATCTTTTCTGGTGTGCTCCAAGGATTTTTCAAGTGCCTCTTTTCCTCTCGAGAGAGCTTTAATTTCTTCATTTGTGTCCAAAAGACTCTCCCTAAGCCTGGCTACCACAATTCTAACTTCTCTTGTATATCTGTGAATTTCATCGTTGCTCAACTGAGCAACTGTATCCCGAAGATGAGGGAGAGGGTCTAATGCCCTTCCAACATCACAACTTTTGTCACTCTTTTGAACGATTGTTTGAGATATTTTTATCCCTTTCAACGTATTGTTTCTCCATGATTCAGGTCCTATGGTGGTTGCTGCTTTAGTTCCCAGCATGTTTGTGGCTTAAACACCTCGCTCCGTACACAAACAATGGCTGTCAGAACCCAACTGCTCCCTGTATCCCGTTACGTGTTGGTGATTATTGACAAATTCTACAAACCCAAGACTGGCGTCGTTCTCTGTGTGACGTTGCTCATGGAAACGGAGCTTCGCGGACCACTTCCGTCGTCCGTGTGCTTCCGGTTTACCTATTTCTTTCTCATTGGCAATAATTTTGTTCAAATTATAAGCATCTAATGTCAACAATCTCACTACCATGATTAATTTTAAAATATATAAGTATTTATCAAATAATAACATTTACTATGAATGATCAAAACATAAAGTATACCTGTAATTATCGATTGATCACAGGGTAAGGTAAAACGAAACAAGGTCATTACTGGAATGTGAGTCATTTGTTAACCTTAAGTCCCAACTCACTCGTTCTTTTGACATGACAGCCTTAATAACGCTAATTACAAGCAATGGCTAACGCTGATTTAATCAAGAAAAGAAAATAATTGTGTCGATGATTAAATTTAATATATTACGACCTTCACCTTTGGGAATGTTGGGTTCGCACCTAACAGATGTGACGTCATGGGATAAAATGAGCTGTCTGTGAGAAGAGAAGGGGGAACTCATCCGGGGATAGTCATACTGTTCTTCATGAATTTAGTGTCTGAATATTCGTATTGATGACTGGAATGGTAGAAGTGGCTTCCATCCCACCGTGGAAGCTGAACATTATGGAAAATGGACGTGTGTTTGATGATTCAGGTGAACCGGGAGGACATTCCAACGATAAGTATAACAACATAAATGACATTCCAACATGGAAACGAAGTTTTGTGAATCCGGACACTAATAATAGTAAACCTCGTGATAATGTACGGTCCAGTAGTAGTTCCTCGGTAGATATTAGATCTAGTCATGTAAACAATAACATCCCCTATACATCTGCCGAGGGAAATAGAGTTAAAGTGAAGTTTAGTTTAGGGGGCGACACTACGGAAGTAAGTGATATGAAGGAAGATAGGGAGACATCTACCTCGGAGAAACAGCCTACTCTAAATAGTAAGGTGGCTATTGACAATACACATTTAAAACATGTTCAGAGCAACCCGTTTTTCGTGGAGCTTGGTGGGGTCACACATCCGCATGGTAAGTTGATAAATGATTCACTTCCTGAAAGTCCCCAGTTATCACGCAGCGACAGTGTCAGTACTTGTACCACAGAGGATGAAGTGAATGACTATAGCCCACACTCTGGCATAGTTGAGAAATTACGTAAAAAGTTTACCTCACTTTCAAGCCATGAAAAGACTCTGCAGGGTGCTGCGTCAAGGCTTAAGCGATATGGAAGCCTGGACAATTTGCTTGGAAGAGGGTCTTTACAATCAGAAATATCAGAACCAGTAAAATCACCCAGTCAGAAGAGTTATTTGAGAAATAACAGTCAAACTGATGTTTCTAAAAGTTCAAGAAGCAGAGCTGATGGCAAAAGAAATAGTTTGGAATGTAAGAGCTTTAGAGACAACAGGGATGGAACTACAGATACAGTAACACCAGCATTGCAAAAACCACCTAAAATCATATCCAGCAAAACTCAAGTTACCAGGAATGATTCAAGCTCAAGTGTGGAAGAACAAAAATCACCCAAACCACCAGTTCCAGAGATGCAAATTTCATCAGATGACATCATAATCATTGAACAACCTTGCAAATCTTCTGCTAGTCCTAAAAGTGCTGATAATCAGGATGTGAAAACTTTAAAAAGTGAAAATGAGGAAGGTGAACTTCCAAAACCAAACACTGTTTCAACATTTAGGACATTATTTGAAGCTAACACAAAAGTCAGTAGGAGAAAAATTCTTCCTGATGCACCAAGGTCACCTATGTTCATTTCTGCATCAACTCCAAAACCACCAGTGTCAAGGTCAAAACCACAGGTTCCACAGAGAGAGAAGCTGCCAGCAGTAGACAAAATGACCAGTAAAGCTGAGACACAAAGCTCCCAGGAAACAGATTCTGATGACAAGTCACCAGTTCCTCCTCCAACCTCAAAAGTTACACCAAGTATACCATCCCTTTCACCATCAGGTTCACCGTCAGAACAAACAGTAGCAAAGGTAACAGTATCTTCTTCTCAAACCCAGGATTCATTCAGTGACAATCATACTGTTGCATCGATGCCAATGCATGACAAACCTAATGAAAATGATGCTGTAATGGAAAAACCTGCATCAGTTTCAAAAGACAAACAATCTACTGATAACATTGAGATTGTAAGCAGCATAGCTAGCAAACCACCAAGAGCTTTTGACTCCCCTGTGACAAAGAAGAAAAATATTGGTGAAATGAAATCCATATTTGATTCCAATATCATTGCAGCTTCAGGACCAAAACCAATACCTGTTCTAAAACCAAGAAAAACTGTTCCAAAGAATGTTACGCGAGTTACTGTTGAAAAGGCAAAGGAACTAGACACTTCAACCTCAAGACCTAACGGGATATCTGTTCAAAATTCTGTGGTTTCTGATACCAAAATGGAAAACAATGAAACAAAAGCTAACTTAGACTTTCCTAAAAAGAAAAGTGTAGCTCCAGTTCCACCTCAAATAGAATTACATCAGAAGCCAAAAATTCCAGTGGAACGAAAACAGATATTCGATTCAGCTTCAATAGTACCTGTTTCATCGAGTGATCAGGACTCTCAAAATCAGACAGAAAAGAAGCGAGCTCCACCAAGACCAAAAGCAATGGCACGAAAACTAAGCCGTTCAAATTCTGTTGAAGAAGATCCTAACAAGGCTTCAGATAAGGAAGTAATAATTGTGGCTGAAAAGTCAGTTCCAAAGGAATCACAAACCCCTGCAGCAACGAAACCAGAGAAGGAAATGAAGCAAGTTGTACAAGCTGAACTACCACCAAAATCTGATGTTCCGCCAATTCTGAATCGGTTCTCCCCAGTAATTCATTCATCCAAGAGTGATGACAACAATAAGCTCAAAACTTCAGAACAGGATGACCGCAACAAATCATCTCTGGCATCCAATGCTGGCTCTACTCCAGCAACTAAAACAAGCAACTTTGAACCTGTTGGTGTTTTGAACCAAAAAAATGAAGAGCTTAACAGTGCTAGTGGGAGACCAACCAAAGGAATCCCCACAATTATCGCTAATAGGTTCTTGAAAGACAGAAAAGATGTTTCTCAGGAGAACAAAAACAATGACAAAGATGATAGTGATGATGAAACTAATCATAGTTTAGTAAAACCAAGTCAGTTTAGGGCAAAAGGACTCATGAATGGAGCTATATCATCCCCAGTGCCAAAGAAACGAGGACAATCTAGTGAAGAAACTGCATTAGATAAAACTCGTAAAAATGTTATTGCCAAAAAGAATAACACTGGGTCATCTAACATAGATGATCTTATACGAGGGAAAAAAAATAGTCCCTCCGCTGTGTTCAATTCTAACATGATTCCGGCTAAGCCGGTATCCACTACTAGTGCTGCCAATAACGGAGTTCCTCCTTTGGATCTTACATTAATAGAAGAAAAGAAGAATCATCCTTATCAAGAAGGTTATATACCTACAAAGATTGAGCCTTGCAAGATCAAATTTATTGGTGCTGGTATGAAGGGGCCCACACAACCCTTGGCTAAGACAAGAAAGACTAAGGTAGGCTCTGTATACTGGCACTACTCAGGCTTTTTGACATAATATTGATTTGTCTTTCATGTATATAGAGTTTGAACATTCACCTCTATGTGATGTGGACAGTTATCAAAACCCAGGGGTATAATAGCAATAGGTTTATGTTTAATAGCATATTTTGCTGAGTACTGAAGTTTATAAATGTTATCCAAAGAGTTGAGGTAACTGTCTGCATCACACAGAGGTGATTGGTTATTTTTCTCCCATCCTTCTCTATCATGTCACCAGAAGCAAAAATGAGACATCATTACTTTAAAAGTCATATGTCCCTCCTGTTGAACCACCTGTTTTTTTCCTGCCTCTTTCAAGCTGCAGTAGCCTTGTAGGCCTAGATATCTGATAGCACTCATTAGATTATTGTTGTACATATATTTAAGTTTATGCAGCCTTATGTTATGTAAGATCTTCACAATTTATACATTGATATTGTATATTGTTGGTGCAGCTGGGTTTTAAGATTTGAGCTTTGCTTTCCTCTGTCATTTTTGGTGATAAATGGTAATTGTTCTGTATAATTTTAATGAGTACTTCAGCATAAGATATTATGGTATTGAATTTATCGTTTAATCTCCAACTAGGATCTGAAAATCAAGACAGTTATTGATAATTATTTGATAACCTTTTCTTTTTTTTCTGATTTAGTTATTGGCCAAGACTGATAAATCATGTTGTTTTTGCAGTGTTGGTACATGGAGGTAATGAGTACTTATGTACTACAAGTCAACAAGGTTACTAATATTCAGATCAGATAACAGAAAATGGCCAACATACATTTATTCTGTTGAGTTGATTTTATTCATACTTGAATAATGAGGAATGGGAGATCCAAATCCCAAAGTGTACAGCAAAGTTCTGTTGTGCCTAGCTGTCTGACTCCACAGAGAATACATTGAGTCTGGCTATTCGTAGAGTTATCAATAGGTAAAGATGACCATGACAACATCATGGTCGTCTTACTTTTTCATACATGTTAACTAATACTTCTCCTTAGTAATCAGTTAAATGCAAATTCTAGATGACCATCAAATTTGCAAGGGTTATGATATCATAGGTTGCTATGAGTGATTATGACCTAAGTCAATGTCGAGTGGACGTTGATTATATGTATACATATTCTGATTAAATGTCAACAATCGAGCAGAATTTACTGAGTTCTGTGTTACTGTTACATAAGTTTTATCAATTTTAACTATTGGAATGTCACTAGAATGATTCTTAAAAAAGGATTAAAGCCTTTTCAGCATAACTAAAGAGAATCGACATGAAAGAATGTGATTTTGTAAATGAACAACTCTACCTTCCACTGTCAACACAAGTAAGATATATAGAGTAGGTGTATTTATGGTAATACAAATGTCATGCTATGATGATCATGTTTCATTGTGTGTAAACTATAGGAACTATCTCTTGGTTTGTGTATAGGGTTCAGAGGGGACCTGGACAGTATAATCCTACTGTACACATGTACAGTCAGATCATATAAGGCAAAGGTTCTATAATAATTCTTGTAGCTGCCATTAATGCTGGTATAGTTACAGACTAATTCATGTCATTTGGGCACATATATAGCTCTTAATCAGCACATCTTGTTCTGATTCATCTCAATTGCATGCCAAAAATTCCATAAAACCTATTGTTCTTGTGTTTTCACTCTTACTGTCGATATAACCATAGATTAGAGTGGTTTTGCTTAACCTAGTATATCACAACATCCTATAAAACATTAATTACTTGTCTTTACAGTACTTATCCTAATGAGTAAGTCCGGTTTGGAGAAAAGTTAAGTGGGGCATGATCGTGTCATAAAATTTTTCTTCAGTCACCATGGCTTGTTTAGTATTTTCCCCAACATCACACGTATTTGGTTTGGAGGTGTCATAATACCTGGTCCTTAGAATACTCCCTTGTAGCCTAGTATAAGTAATTTAGTATCATAGATATGGCCAAGATTTTGGATCCTGTTATTTATAGAAAGACTCTAGGAAAGAATATTGTCTTTACAATAAAACTATATGTTTACAATAAGAACTCCAGTAACCCGAGTGTACTCCAATTAGAAGATACCATATTATATATAAGTTGCTTTCATTTTGTAACACCCATTTGCATGCATTAGAGTTTTTTTTTTTTTTTTTTGCAGAAAAGTCAGTTGGTTGAAATTGTTTGTATGTGAAATAATGGCTGACCATTAAGATGTTAACATGAGTAAGGCCTGTGGCTGTACATGTAGCATGAGTCATGTTATTCAGAACTGTATTATGTTTCTTTAGCATATTTACTGATTTAATGCTTGTTATATCATTGTCTTTCTGAACAGAATAAATATCACTTCAAAGTATTATAATACAAACATTTGAAGTCAGTCTATCCTAACGTTGATGAGATTAGCCACTCCTAACTGTCCTGTTATTTCCTGCTTTACAATACCTATTATGATGTACCTAAAACCAAGCCCAGTAGCTATGCTGTTTAAAAGTGACTGAACTGTAGATCTGTCATATTAACTTTTCTAGGGTACCTGGTCTTTTTCTCCCTGTACTTTTTCAGGATTCTCTGAAAATCTTACTTTTTTCATATTTTGGTCTAGTTTCATCATATTTATGTTTGAAGTATCATATTCTATTCACAAATCAATATATTATTTGTTGATTTTGTGTAACTGGTAAAAGCTCAAAAATTGTTTTATTGTTTTACATCATGGATAATCCCTGTATCCACCTTGTATAACCATCTGTTTTCTTTTATGGTAGGGATCTCCACACAAAGTACATATTGTATAATCTCAAATGTATGATACACAAAGCTATTTGTTTACTATAAGTTACATCACTTCAAAAATTCCATTTAGTATAAAGTATCTGGATAAAGGCAGGGATATCCTTTGTGGATTAACATTTTGTTTACATTATTGTGGTATATCCAGAAACTGTTTATGTTACAGTTTCTTTTTGTAGAGCTGCACTAACCCACAACCTTCAGCCAACTTGACAATCTACTATGTCTACCTGATCTTGGATTCTCCCACCTAATCCCAGAACACAATCCTAACACCAAAACCCTCTATAGTTACACATCTCTCTTTCTAAATAAAACCCCAAGATGTTTTCAAAGTCTTTTTCAATCATCTTAACAACATTCTTCCTAAACCTGTGTACTCCCTACTCCCATAACATATTTCTGTGACAAGGATCCCACTTTAACTTCCATTCTCTATATAACTAATCAAACAACATTGTGCCTGTAATTTAAGAGACTTCTGTTTTATAATTTATATCCATCCTTTATGACCTCATCCCACTTGACTTTACCCAATCCTAATGTAACAAATTTGTAGACTGCTTTGGGCGTTAGGCAGAGAGGGTGGGGATGGGGGAGGGTGGAGAATGGTGGTTAGGTAATGATATATAATATGAATTATCCATAGTCCCATAAACACATCTACACAAATCTTTAAAACTGATCATGATTTCAAACCAGAAAACATTGCATAGCATTTTTATTTATTCTTTTATTTTTGACAATGATAACAAATGCAAATATCTTCATACCAAAATTATATTTCCAAGCTTATTCATCAATGATATTAGGTTACATTTAAGTAAGTAGATAAACTGATAAAATATCAAGTGAATATGTTTTATCAAAAGTTTCAACATGCATACAGATGATTTAAGTTTTATGACATCAAAAAGTGTATGGTGTACTGTTCATGTTGACCACTTCAATATCACACAATATTGTTGATTTTTATGAGTGCATGTTTAAACTTCCTGTTTGATTTTAAACTGCAGCTGTGGCCCTTGAAATTTAATATTGATAGCTTGATATAGACGGATGACCTGATACTGTATCAGTTGATTTTCTGTCAACAGATAATTTATAGATTAGGAATTTTATTTTAAAACCTCTAAGTGTTGTGCATTTTCGTATTTTGGTACTGATCGCAGGGAGGGGAGTAAACATCTTTAGTTGTGCATTTGTCATTTTGAGTCTAATTGGAAGCACAGAATAGCTGAAGTAGCACAGCCATTTTTTATTGTGAAGTGTAATAGTTTGTTATCTCTATTCCTGGAGAAGTGTTAAATGGATCATTTCCAAATACATTGGCCCCTAGTTTTGAACAGATTAGGAAAACAAGATGGCAGACAGGTGGCCATCTTGGATATTGATAGTTATAAAGTTTATCACTATTCTTAGAGAAGATGTAATGGATTATTAAATTTCCAGTCACCTTGGTTCCTAGTTGTTAATTTGGAACTGATCAGGAAAACAAGATGGCTGACATCTTGCCATCCTGGATTTCGACAGTTGTAGTTGTGTTATTGCCACTTCTTTAGAAGTACTAGGTGGAACACTTATTCTCTTGTGCTTTGTCTGTTTTGGGTCTAATTGGGGAAAAATGAGCAGCAGGTAGTCATCTTAGATTTCGGCACTTATAGTTGGTTATTGCTTAGAGCTCGACAGACAGTGAGTATAGAAAGGTGGCACCTGCAAAGCTTAAGCAGATAGATCTTGTCAAAGTTTTATGATTAAGAATCACATGAGCTGGTGTCAACAGTTTCATCACGATCCGTTACAGCATTATAGGGCATGTTGCTGTAAGTGATTTTGCCAGCCTTGGATTAGATAAAACAATATCTCTGGAAAGCTATACTTAAATCTAAGATCTAGCTTACCACATGTATTTTCATTATACCCCATTAATCCCGTGTAGGCTGTTCAAGCTAAGTTAGATATAGAATACTACTGAGATTGTCTGTTTATGTATACACTGACACACTCACAAATTATTTCTTACTTAGAAGTTGTACCTTTAGCACTAGTCAACTCACCACTGGACTTTAATATGTTTCTAAAATATTGATAGGTAGATAGATGTGTTGACAAGTATGTTAGGTGTATTTGTTGTCTGACTGACTCTACACAATACATATATATATATATAGTATAGTGTCAGTTTTAAG